TCTCGACTGGCACCAATTTTTATTTCTTTCAAACTTTCAGATGCCATTACTCCCACATACACTGATCAAGTGGAACATATTCTCCAACTTAAGTGGATCAACATTTTGAGCGGTGTGGCCTTGACATAATCTATAACCATAAAATCAGTGGCCATTCCCTTGATCAACTTTCTACTTGCCCTCTTAAACTTTGCAGAAGTGGTCTTTCACATGGAATAACTTGTTAAAATCATTGAACCGTTCTAATTGGTAGGCCAAGAACTCCAAGTAGGCTTTAGTGAAGTGATTAAATAGTGACGTCTTGATTCTATCATGGAGTGTGTAGGATCTTCAGCTGCAACTATTACAAAGTAGTGTTTCAGTGCATCATATTGTTCCAAAATTCTATTAACCAAAGTCCCAATGATAACCATCTTGTTTGGCCAGGGCTAAGAAGTTTGTGGGGCTCTGCTTCGAAAAATTCTTGAAACTCTTTATAAGCATCTTGCCTTTTAGACGATCTGCTAAAATGTGCATAGATATCACGACAGAGGTCTTCAAGGCTCTTTGGAAGCTTAAGGGCAGCATAAGATGAGGCAAGATGAATTAAGTGGCAGGAACATTTAACAACATGGACATGCCTCACATCTGACTTTAGCAACTGGGAGACAGAGTTATGGGCACCAAACATCACGTTTGTAGTGTCAGATGAATACCCAATTATATTTCCCATTGGGATGTCCAGAGTTTGGAATGTTGCTTTAAAAGCAGAATATATTCCCTCGGCAGTAGAATCCTCTACTTCTACCATGTCAAGAAGAATCTGCTTCGATTGAAAGCGTTCAATATCAAAATAACAAGCCATAATAGCAAGTTGTTTTCTGGTAGAGACATCGGTTGTTTCGTCAATGATAGTGCTGAATCTCTGCACACGAAGAAGTTTTGTGGCCTCACGAATGTAATTAAACCCAAGTACTTGGCGAATTATGTTTGTTGCTTTTTGTTTTCCTAATCTGACAAGTGCAAGTGACTTATCGTTGGTAAACAGACACTTTAAAAGCTCAACAAAACTGTCTACCAAGGATATAGGAAGATTGTGCTCTGCTATGAAGGCACATACTTTAATCTCCAAACCAGGGGCGGATCTAGACCGGTGCAATGGATGCAGATGCATCGGTCAAAATTGTGATATTGAAATTTGGTCAGATATAATATATTTGTATAAATTATACACATATAAAAATACCTGATAGCTAACTAATGTGATCACACCTCTCCTTGAATAAACTCAAAGTTTTTAATCACTTCAAACCAGCGATTTAAACTCATTATTATTGCCAAGTTATCGATATTTGCGATCAAAACATGATTTCGCACTTTCTTTTGTTTTTCGACAAGTCGTCGTGAATAATAATTCGCGACAAAAATGGCCTCAACATGGATATAAATAACTTTTCATTACGTAATGCACAGTAGCACATGTGAATTAAGTGCACCGGTCCCGAGTCCTTTTCCGTGTGAAATCTACTGTTACGTCACATTGCCATTGTTTTGAGAGTAGATTTGGAAGTTTGTGCACCTGTGAGTGCACCGGTCCCGAGTCCTTTTCCGCGTGAAATCTACCGTGGCGTAAACGTCCATTGTTTTGAGGGTAGATTGAGTCCGCCGACCGATGCACTCGTGCAGATTGCGGGCTTTTGCTACCTTTTCGCTTCAAGCCTCGTTTGGATTCTACTGTGACGTACAAGCTTTCGCTAAATCGCTAAATCGCTTTGGCATAATGCATTTGCTCAGATTGCTCTCCCACGCATTATCGAAGTCATGACTACAACAGCAAATAAGGGCATTATTCAAATTGAAAGAAAAATAAAGTTTGAGGTCAAACGGTAACGTACTCGCATAATTTTTCAAAATAAAGAAATGACTGCATGCCCTGGAGTCAATAATAAATCTCTATTCTCGAATACTCAATGGTTCTGGGCTTCTGGCCAGTTCTCCAGTTTGTTATTAAATATTGCGTATAAATTTAAAGTTGCTTAGGTTTAATATAAAGCTTATGTTATATTATAACATAAGCTATGTTATATTATAAATAAGCTTTATTTATAAAAGCAAAGGAATAAATGCCAATAATGGTCATATTATTATGACCACTAGACCTTACTATGACCACTTATTATTATTACCACTATACCACTAATGACTTTGAGTCACTAGACTAGGTATAAATTATAAACTGTGATTTACATTATTTTATTAATGATGTAAATCACAGTTTATAATTTAATATTTATACCTTAACACCATTACTATGCGTGCGAAATAAGGTAACTTGTGTAGCTGATGTCAAGATAATACGACAAGTTTGAGGTATTACAATGAAGTTGTTTTCTTGTTTAATAATGCTACACAACAGCCACAAAAATTATTAGGAATGAAATCAATGAATGATCAATGATGTCCAGTTTAGGTCATTACCAATAGCCTTCTGAAGTGCTTACGTCACACAGTTTTCTGTCTATACAATTTTGTCCCACTTGTTTCCCAGATTGCATTGCGATTCATTGTTCGAGACCGACATGACGTAAGCACCTCAAAGGTCTATTACCATACAGGTAATTAGACAGTGTAAATTCCTTAACTTCTAGCTATGGTTGCTCATGGCTGTTTTGGTCACCAAAGACTGGTGAATTCCTAAGACTGGTGAATTCCTAAGACTGGTGAATCACAGCTAGTCTAAATAACTAAATTGCCTAATATAGTTCAAATTAACTCAAGTCTCAAGTATTGCTGTAAGTCACATGACTGCATTGCTTTAGTTTTAAGATTCTTGGGATAATATAAAAGTTATTTGGGATGATATAACTTTTGCAACAATATGGGAATCCTAAATGCCTGTATACACTAGTAATTGATTGTGAGGAATATTTTATTACTCATTGATGTATTCACTGTTGTAACTCTTGAACAACAAAACTTTAGGATTGCATGCATACAACCTCATTTATAAATAGATGGACCTTGCTTTTAAGATTTGGCCAGGCAGGATACTACATAGTCTTGGCATATCTTCTATATTAGAAAGATTGTTTACACGAGCTTTGCTGATTAGTTTAACATAATTAGCCCCACTGCCCCAATCAGTGTTTGTCAGACTAAAACTAAAAAGTCAATTAATAAGACATAAACACTTGAATATTTGCCTTTTGCAAGCTCTAAAAAGTGGTTCCTTCCTAGTCGTTTTGGAAATATTTTATTTCTAAAGGGAGACAATACTTTGTCAATATTTTTAATTAAAATTTGAATAACTTGCTTTGTACTACTCACAAAAATATTGATAAACATTATTAAGATTGATCAATAACTCTCTCTTATTTCAAAACATCAATTTTTCAAATTTTTCAAATACTTTTTTGAATAATGAAATTAGTGAAACTCTTGTTGAATTATTAAAGGCCCTATTTCCTCTGAGCTTTATGGAAAAAATTATTTGAATATTTTGATTAGTATTGACTTTCAACTACTTTTGCAAACACCGATTTAATTCAAGATTTTACAATGTCTAAACTGCAGTTTATGCAAGATTCTAAAATGAACTCCTGAAATTGTATTATGAAGTACCTCTTTATGTTTAAAGGACGTAGTTTTGTCATGAATCTTTGAATGCATGAGTTGGTTTCTATGTCTGAATGTCATTAAACTAGTCAGCCAAATTAAATGCAGGGAATCGCGTTTTCGAGTCTCGCATTCCTAGGCTTAAAATTTCCCGGGATAGGTGTCTCCGGCCCGCTAGTGGGTGGGGCCTTTGACATTATCCATGAAAGATGCATCGGTCAGGAAATTCGCTAGATCCGCCCCTGCTCCAAACGTTTTCTTTCGTTTTCGAAACTACTACGTTTGAATAAAGTGGAAAGACTGTGGCTATCCTTTACTGACTGTATTCCCCTTTGATGCTTCGCAGATTCCATATGCCGCTGAATGCCAGTCTTACTGGAATTGATTTCCAGTTGACAAAACTTGCAATATGGTTTCGCTTTTCCATCTGTTCCTCTTCGCTTTTCTAACCATTCTTTAAATTCTTTTACATCTAGCCAGCTTTCAATAAATTTAGCCTCCGTCTTTCTACGTTTCTTTTGAGGAAGCCCCAAGTTTGACATGCATCGCTCATTATTTCTATCACTTTCTTCGGTTTCATTATCTGAAGACTCGGAATCGGCCATGTTCATACCGTTTTTCCCTTTTTGGACTTTGGTTTCACAGTGTGTATATAGTTTTGTTTTGAAAATATGAAGTATTTAAAACCTGTTTGCAGCTCATTTCATGGCACTGACCTCTAATTATATGAAGCTGAACTATTATTATTATAAAGCTTTAAAATAAGGAGGGCTTTGCCGTTTGTGCACCCGGTGACTCATGCAAGTTCCGTAGAATTGTAAACAACAACAGTCAACAGGATACATGAATAACGTCTACTATAAAATAACTACTAATAGCTACTAATAAATAGCTACTACTACTAATAAAATAACAGATGTCAACACGGGCGGGAACACGGGTCTTGATTAAGGTCCCTCAAGACTCATTCGTTTTGTCAAAATGAAGACGAAAGACCCATTTTTATGGTACAAAACCTTCTCGTGGATCTGAGGATTGCTTGCTATTACTATCTGATTATCAGTATTTCAGTAGATTGAATATCCTTTAACGGCATTCGGCGCCTTTCCCTTAATCCTCGGACATTCATCGGTGTTTTTTATCTCTTTACACAACAGTCGATTTGTAGGTATTTGGTGAAAATACAACTTTTCATTTTCAATTACCGGCATACTGTTTTCCCCCACTTGTTTTATCACTGTTTGATTTACAAAAGGTTTGGAAAACACAACCTTCGACTTTCAACTTTTACACAATGGTAGTTTGGCCAACCTAACTATGGCACATACAAATGCAATATTTTTTGCATCACCGTAGTGTACTTACTGTAGTACATTTTTTGTATCTTAATTCTCAGACTCGGCAATATGATTTTAGAAGAATTAGTAGGAGCTGTGGTGTCACTAGGCAGCTTATTAATCTCACAACCACCACAAATATCGCGCGAAAACAAACCAACATATAGCTGCCTTAAGCAATGCTCGGAAGATGACGAAGATTACGAAGGTACTGTTTTACACCGCGAGTATGCACCAGAAGAACCACAATCACCGGCGTCTTACAATGATCCAGACACAACTGCTGAATATCGCACGAGGCGCAGCGTCGGGGAATCATTACGGAGAACTATTCAAGTAAACTTAAGCTTACTACCCGCCATAGTTTTGCTGGGTGTTGTCACAATTGCTCTCGTTTATGTTGATTTGAATTCAACAAATTCTTGCATCGAATGGCGACATAACCACAGCATACCATTCAACAGGAAAATACTAAAAATTATAGGCACGTCCCTAGGCTGTCTACCGCTTTACGCGTGGTTCCCATTCACTGCAGCGATGTTGTGGGGGATTAAAGAGTTTAAAGAAAATTATTTGTCGTGTTTATTTGCGTCGTGCTTCGCTGCGATGCTAACAATGGTGTACAGAGGTGTTCTGTTTCAGAAATACACCACGGTTATAATTTACAGGTATGACCCCCCCTTCCCCCCCCCCATAATCTCGTAAACTGGATTTTAAGCTAGGGTGCAGGGACGCACTCCTGTAGCGGTGCATAAAAAGAATGTTTGAACTTCGTATCGTCGTGTTTTCTCTTTCCAAGATAATTTTTGTGTCTTGAATTCTTTCACTAGACGTTTGTGTTATTCTTGATGCTCGTTTGTGGCCCTTCTACTTTGGATATAGAATGTAATCCTATAAAATGAAAGGGCATCTTTGCCCCCCTGGCAAAAGGCAAAGGGAGCAGTTTCCCCTGTTGCTCCCCTGTCCCGGCTAGGGTGAGGGACAGTGAACCCTATAGCTCCACGACATATTCAGGCTAATTCAGCATATTTGACTTGGAAGGGTGCGCCCAGGGTATACCAATGGGTTATATACATGTTATCAATTAAATATATTTTGATATTTATTCTTCCTTTAGATTACCCGACAACGTACTATTTCTATTTACAATACTGCTGAGTGTTTTTCTGGCTGCACGTAAATTCAAAAAAATTAATCCCGCATCGAAAAACTCAGTCTGGCGAATATTTTTCTGCCTATCGTTCAGTTACCTGGGGGCCACCGCAATCGCCTATATCTACACCTACGTCATCGTTGAGCGTTTCATAAAAACACAAAACACAATAAAAGCGATGATTGCAGCTCTTACACCAGGAATGATGTTATTACCAACTGCCATCGCAAAGTACATCATTCTGCGAAGAAGTTCAGAGTTTATTCCAACCGACAAAGCTTTTGTGACGTGTTACTATCTTCGTAGTGGGGCAATCAGTCTTTACCGTACAATGCAATCAGATTTTCAAAATATCTGGCTTTTTACTGGCCTCTCCTTGCTACACGGTGTTTCAAATGTTCTGAGTAAAGCAACATTGAACCTTCGTATCAAAATGTGGAAATGTTTTTTATTTTGCGTCAACAAGACTCGTTGGGGAAGCGCCTTGAAAGTGTTGGATTACGACACTCCGCGTACACGTCGCCTGGACGCCGACCTCGAAATCGAAAATATTTTGTTCGAGTACACCACAGTTGTACTAGGCCAAGCATATTTGGTTATGTATCTTCTCACCAATTTTGAGGTCGTTCATCCGTGGAAAATCATCAAAAGCTCTTTATTCAGAATTGGCCTTAGTACAGTCATAGACTTCTTTTTTAACATTATATCCGTGTTCATTCAAATTCATTTCTATGATATTCCCATGCGAAGGGTGTGGTCAAAACACTGGGGACGTCACGTGATTGCAAATACTCTCATTATTATCTGTTTGGTGTCTTACTTCGGTGCTGCGCTGGTCAGTGTGTTCCAGGCGCGCGACGAGAAGCAATCGGAGTACAGATTAAGAAATTGTACATCGTTTTTTTGAGGAAATTTACTATTTTTTTTTTCTTATTCTTCTTTTTTTGTAATTATGAAAGTTTCATAGAAATTGTAACCTATGGATAGGCACCCCCAATATAATAAAAACGTAACCTTACATAGAAAACCTTGGAAAACTAAGAAATACTGAAGAGAGATAATGAAATCTCGGATTATTGACATTGTGCTTTGCATATGGTCTTTGCGCAATTTATTAGCTTTTTAAAATAACCAATATTGGCAATATTACAATCAGTTGTCAAATAAACACGTATTTACACAACATAACATGCAATAAAATGAACTAAAAATAAAACCCAGTCTAACACCTAACACATAAAACACCTTCAATGTGCAAAACTCCCAATGTATTTTCATCTACTTTTAGTCAAAGCCAAGGCCAAGGGAGATATATTTTTGCTTTAATTGCTGCAAGTCAGTTTCATAATCTCCTTCTCACCTGGTTCATTCATTCTCTTCAGCACGTACAGTAATAAAACCATTGAAACGTAATTTTAACTTTAATCACCAAGGCCCAACAATAAGCTGCTGTGAACAAACATGGGTAAAAAACCTTCCAGTATCATGTCCACCTCTGGTTGCCCCTGTTATAAGCAATCATAAATCATCAAATGATAAGGCTCAATAATTTATTATAACAAATAATAAAGGAATAATATTATGATCATAAGCAGCCCAAATATGTGTGATAATTTGAACTCGATAATTTTAACATTTTTCTGCAATTATGATGTAAAGAACGTTTCTATAGAAGGGAAACTGTTTTACTCACTGTTCCTCCAGTGCTTTTTGCTTAACTTGTCTCTTTAATGCTTGCCGATTAAGACCCATTAAGCTGTGTACCAAAAAGTATACCTTAGTAAGAATTTATAATAAGGTACTATAATCGCATTTGGGGCAAAATGTTATGCTAGCTGATGGGTGAAAACAGGTGCCAAACTGAAAAAACATGGTCCTGTGGTGAGGAATGTCTATTTTACCTTCTTTGTTCAAATTGTGTCGGTTTATTTGATCCCCAGCTGTTCTGAACACCTGATGCTACCTCATAAAAGATTTGTTGATCTTCAGCTATTTCTAAAAGATGAACAGGCACAGATAAAATAATATAATAAAATAATATAATAAAATGCTGTTCACAGCATTTGAAGTAATAAATAATATCATTAGTAAATGTGAGTTTACAGTTTTAATCCCCTATAGCAAGAAGTAGATATATGTGCAATGACATTCAACAATTTAATCTTAAAAAAAATTATACTAACCTCTATCCCAATCTTCATCGCCAACATCATTCAAGCCTGGGTTATTGTATGGAGGAACTGATGTATTTCCTTTTAGTTTATCCAGTGTCTCCACATCTTTGTAACATTCTGATAAAAATGTCGGCAACAAAAAATCTTTAAACATATAGTGGCTATTAATTATGGAGAAGTTTGTGTTATGTGTCATATCCTCTAGGTTTCCAGCCTATTATTTTGCATTGCTATCAACAATATTACTAAGCAGGGTTTAATATCTCCCTAATTCATAATTTTGCAAGGAAAATTATGTATACTGAGGGGAAAAATTCCTCTGAAAACAGTTATTTACAGGATACTCACCGCTCATTGATGCTTCAACAACATTCTATAAATGAAGAAACTATGCATTAAAATGAGTGGGTATATCATGGACATATAATAGCTGATTGTTGATTATTAATTTTGCTGTAGACCTAAATAAATGCCCTATTTGACCAAGTTCCAAACCATATCACTAAAAGGAAATATTACCAATAGATCCAAAAATTAGGATTAAAATTACATTTCACTGCCCAGTCTGCCCTACTGCATGCAATGAATATTATCAATTGTTAACAACAAAAATGCACTTAAAGTATACCTTATCAGGACATTGGCAAATGTGACTTCTGAGATGAGGCCTTAGAATTTGATGTGTGGCATTAAATGGACAACTTACAAAGTCTTTATTCGGGTAATTCTTAAAATAAACAATGATGCAAAATTACTATCCATACAATTGTTTAAAATGTGTGGTACCAGTGGGGAATACAATCCATATAATTTCCAATAATAGGATGTGATGTCTTTATATATGTATCCTTTTTATAAATAGCTGCTTCAACATGTTGAAAGAACAAAAACTTCGCAGTAATGATCATGAGGCTATTATATAACTTCTCAATCTCTTTTTGAAAATGACAAATTTATGCAAACTCTATATCTAGAGGATATGGAGGTATGTGGGATGATACAAAAATGAGTTTTTATAGGCATATTGTGGAAAGTATATTGTATTGCATCACAGAGATATCAGACATGCAAATGATGCAACTTTTATTTGCTATTAACTTTGTGAAATTACTGTTCATACGAAGGAAAACTCTGTGTACGATGCTGGGAACTGCCCCGGGCCCCCGATTAAACACGTGCAAAATTGCTACAATTATAAGTATTTTTTTTAAATTTTGATACCTACTTTACGACATTTTACAAGATGTCTTTGAAATCTTGCTGCTGTTATGCGATGTGAGGCATCGTACGGACAAATAACGTGTTGTTCTGGATCCCATCTTTCCCATTCGGATGAGGTAGTCCAAGCCATTCAAACTGTGATTCATGCTGTCGCATTGATCCTGCAGTTCCAGACCACTGAGCTATATAATAATTCCTGGAGGACCGGCTCCTAATGTTTTTTTCTGAAAAAGTGAAGCAAAAAACATGGCGGACTTCGCCCTTCTGCGCTTGCGCAGAAGCTTTGCTGACGCCACATGGTCCCCTTTGCCCATGGTAATTACCACTGACCAGGCTCAAATATGAGCCCGCTACAAGAGAATGCTCCCCCCTGGTTTTGTATGAATATTTTTTTGGTTTTGCCGTGAAACCTTGTTGTTTGTATTTTCGATTTATTTTTCTGCTACAAAGGCTTGCAATAAGGCGTTATTTCAGTTATATACAAGTCGTTGACGCTGTTTGCCAATGCAGAAATAATAAATATAAAACGCAAAAAAAATGTGGACGAAGGATTTTTATACGATTAGCTGACAGGTTATTTTATTTATTTATTTTCATTATTCATACATACATGTATTTTCTGTGTAAAATTTTTAAAATACTTGAAATTTTTCGAGTCTTGTCGGAAATTTCGATATCTTTCGGATCAATCGCCGACTAAAGGTTACCGGCAGAAAATATGTGGTTATGTGATGTTTTCCTTAGAACATCATGCTTATGCATATCAGCCCATGCATAACCAAGGAAACAAAGGCCAAACCTCATGCAAAATGCTGGGTGGCTGATTAGTAATAGTATTTCAAGATATATTCGCATAGGATATTTTCATTTAGGTCATTATAGCTATAAGTTACCCATATCTTAAGTACTGTATCCCAAGTAATGCACTTTCAAATGGTTCCCTGCTTGACTCAAGAATTTGAGTGGAATCATATTCCAAATAATGCAAAGAAAGGCTATGGTAAATAACAAAAATTTGATTATATATGGTACCAAGAAGATTATGGTACTAGTTGTGCTATCAACAAATGTCTTATGAATTAATGAAAATGCAACTGAGCCTATTCATTCCTCCATTAGTCTATAATCTATTAACCTTCAATTCCTGATTAACCCTGTGATAATATTCCTTGTAATGGTAGGGAGGGTAAAACTGTCCAGAAAATTATAAAAGTTGCAGCAAATTGAAAACAAACTGCTCAGTCAATGCATGTCTGTATAAATTTATTTTTCATTCAGATAACTATTGTAACTATAACTAACAAAGTCAACATGGTAAAATCAACAGTTTAATGTTCCAATAATTTGCAAAAAGCCATCCCCAAATTCCATAACCTCTTTATCCTAAAAAAGAGAGATCAGACCAAGTTTAACTGTACTCAACAGAGTACACCCAGAGGACAGAACCAGAGAGGAGTAGAAATCATTGCAAATTAACAAGCTTGAATCAAGCTTGTAGCTTGATTAACAAGGTGCAAGATGCCAAGAAAGTCTATTAAGCCATGACTTGGCAAACAAGATAACATACTGGACTTTTAACAAACACTGTTGAAATCTAACAGTGAAATATTTTGTATCAGCACTCACACAGTCATCATGTTTAATGTTTTAAATTCATCTAAAATAGACTAAGGATCAATAGAGAGACTAGTAGATTTACTGGGAGGATTGAATATTGATTTATCTTAATTGTTTGAATGAAAATACTCATGAATTGGCATTAAATATGAGTGAAAGCTCCAGTGCCTGACATTTTCAAATCCCATAAGAGTTCTAATAAAAAAAACAACATAGCCAAAACTTAAAAGATCAGCTATTGATCCTTTTTCATAAAATATAGCTTTTCATAGCGTAACTAAGTCATGTACCATTGATCAAAAAGGCTGAAGCATATTTGCCGTTTTTAACATTAATTTCAAAGGAATTACTGCAACAGACGCTTTGGTAGTTGTCTATAGTCTATACCAAAGGCGAAAAACGAAAATGTTGTGAAAACCGGCTTACCTGAGGTAAAAATTAATATCCCGATAGATGAATTAGGCCATTCACAGCATCATAAGTAGAGCAAGAAACCACTTCTCCATATAACTTGTTGAACAGTGAAAAAGAGACTTTAGATGAAATGCGGAGAAAATATATGCCGAAAACAATACCGAAAACCGAAAATATTTTCATAAAAATCGGGAGGGTGATGGACACGTTTTTGACTTTGTATCGCGGTATGTCAGTGGTAATTACCATGGGCAAAGGGGACCATGTGGCGTCAGCAAACGCCGAAATCCGCCATGTTTTTTGCTTCACTTTCTGGCCAGGAGCCGGTCCTCCAGGAATTATTATATAGCTCAGTGTTCCAGACCAGTCACCAGTCATCCTGCCTAAATCAGGCTAACCTGAGCCCGCGAGATGGGCGCTTCACCCTGGGTTAAAGCAAATCTTTACCCATCCATCCTGGGGAAGAGGATGATCTTTACCATGTTTCTATTTGCTTAGTGCTTACCAGTTACCAAACAGATTTCCTGCGGAGGAAACTAGGGTAAAACAGGCTAAACAGCATGAGAGACCAATGGACGAGTTTAGTAAAAACGAATTGTATTATGGCGGGGCGCGTATAAATTATTTAAAAAATATTTTTTAAAAAATCGTTAGTGAGGGGGTGGGGGAGCATTAACAAATTGTTCCTAACTAGAAAACGGGGTTTTCAAACTATTGAAGCTAGTATAAAACGGTTCTTGGTAGTGATACTTGAAAATACAACTTGAAGATGATATCCATTCGCAACTAAACAAACGCTTTGTTTACATTTTGACGTTTGAACTTATATTTTTGGAAATACAACGAACTGTCTGCGTATCTTACACATTTTTTGTGCGTTATCGTTTTAAATGAATATGAACTGCAGTCTGCAGTCTTTGTCTAGTAAAATCCGAAACATGCGATGCGCAAACAACACCGCAGAAATTGGTGTTTATGAAGTTTCAACCCGAAAATCTGATCACTGGTTCACAATAGACCTTTCTTATAATGACGTCAAACGCGGAAAGTTTGATGTTACACGAAATTTGATTGGCTCCACAAAACTATCCAGCCAATCAAACTTCGTGTAACAGCACACTTTCCGCGTTTGACGTCATTATGAAAAAGGTCTATTGTGCATTGCTGTATCGCTATCAAAGAGAAAACTACTGAATAACTTTAAAAAGTTCTGAATACGCATTCTGCAATCTTTTGACAGCTCATCATACACATCTGACCGCTGTGAAATGGCCATTTTGAGGCTTAAAGTATACACATGGTTATTAATTGCTTTAAATCTTTTGTGCAAGACATACTTTTGTGTAGTATCTATGAATATTTTTTGTCATCAAGTTTGAAGCCTAAGTATTGAGAATTGCGGCTAAATATTTTTCAATTTTACCGCGGTGTCTGCGCAAACCCGACTGGACCAAATCCGGCTGTAATTGGATTTTATCTATTTCTTGCCATTCGATTCATTTGAATACCAATCGGCAAAAATTGTTTTGGAGCAAAAATATCCAATAAAAGTATATTTTACGAAAGGTAATGGTAAGGTTTAAACTTTATAAAGTTTATTCCACTTTGATGCAACTGTTACGTTCAGTAGCCACATGTACGCGCTCGTACCTATTTTTTATGACGGTCATATTATGTGGATTTTTTCGCTAGCTGAGACCGTGAGAAAACATCCAATTCCGGATGACAGTAATGTAATAAAAAAACTCTTATGGTAGCTTAGGAGGCGAGAATAAAGAATTGATTGCTGCACGGAGCCAGTTAACAGTTAGCCCACGCAAAACAATTAAACCAATTGCTCATTCTGATGGATGTTTAGGCTGTTGTCTTGTAATGTATATCAGCAGCAAATCCACTGAAACCAATGTACTACGGCTTCACCAATAGCCAACTATATTTCATTATACGTCAGAAGTGAATTGGATCCAACAAAATTGGATCGTGTGAACAGAAGTGAACAGACCTTGAGGTCTAGGTTATACGTCGCATTTTGGTCGCATCAAATGCAATTCGATAGATAATGACCATGGGAAAAATAGGGTGTCTCAAAAAAAACGAAAACTATTGAAATCACTCATTGTTAAACTTTGAATGCAGTGTTCACGAATTTTAGCCCGTGGGGATTTAATGCAACTTATAAAATGCTAAATGCCTTGTGTTGCTAGAGAAAGGGGTGATGGCGAAGGTCATGGTCCTTGAGATGCACATCTAAATATTCTTATCTATATTTGTAAACTGTAAATATCATTTTTGCGTACAAACAAATTTTACTGCATCACATGCATGCACAAAAAAATGCTTATGGCACACACTTATACACCTGTGGGTCCCAACAGGGTGCTTAGGCATTCAAACTCTAACAATTACATTGTTATGGGTGATTTCAATAGTTTTCGGGTTTTTTGAGACACCCTGTAGTTCGCTAGCGAAATATTTGCATCGTTTCTTTAGAATTTTAACAGCATAAATAAATTAGTTCAACTAGACTGTTTTCAATTCAAAGAAAATATGCAAATACTTCGCTAGCGAACTGCTTCTCTCAGTTAAGTGGAAATCCACCCTAACAGCAACACCCTAAAATTTAGTCTGTGTCGGCGAAAAATTGGCGAATCATATATGTATGTAATATAGTCTATTTTGTTAGTTCACAAATTAGGTACGGATAGTATAGCTCAATTTCTTCACAGAGAGAGTTGTCCTGACGCTATAAAACAGTAAATGTCTTAAATTATGTATGGTATTTATTATAGAACGATGGCAAAGACCACACTAATTATTTTCGTTTTGGTGATTTGTATCTGTGTAATCCAGGCAAAGGTGGCAAAAGATTCACGTTACGGTAAATAAACATTTCAGTTCGTTCACAATACATCAAATTTAAGGTGCAAAATAAATAGAATTTTCAGCGAATTTATTCAATATATGACAGTCATAAAATTATACTTCTTAATTAAATGATGGCTAACGCCTTACTTGATCTACCGGCTATATATGCCTATAGCTATGCCTAAAAACATCAACTGAACACTCAAAATTTGGAGAATGTTTAATTTTTCTTTTCCAAAAAATAAACATAGTCATAGGCGATGTGAAAAAGCTGGATACATCCAGCGACCACGACAAAGGAGCATCATTTGGAGACATGAAAGACGGCAAACTAACGAAGCTACTTCGTAAAATTCTATGCAAACGTCAGGGTGGTAGAAGACCGGATTGTGCAGGGAAATGATGACCAGCTGGATCCGATGAAGATGAACTGAGCAATTTAGTATATAACCGCTATACAAGACACAACTACAGCATTGTACCTCTTGCTGTGTATAACTTTAATCTACATATAGCATATCGATATTTCTTGCGATGTAGAGCTAAGGCCTAAAAGGCAACCAGGTCTACATATAGTATTTGATTATACAATACTTGTCCATAATTGGCGTGCATTTTTTAGTAATGAATCGTAATTGCTCAAAACATTTGTTTTCACTGAGTATTTGACGGTTTGGAGGTAGCAGTAGAGGACTGGGGATAGCGAGATTAACATTGCCTCAGACAGATGACCAATCTCGTTCCCCGAGCCCGCGATTCCTCTGGCGAGAAAACGAAGGCTCTGGGATAATCCAAACCGGAAGCCAGAAATCCTGGCTTGCGATTTGTAACGGTTTTTTGTATTTCAAAATTAAAACGGCGTGAACGGTTAACCAATCAGAATCATTTCTGGTTTGGATTATCCCAGAGCCTTCGTTTTCTCGCCAGAGGAATCGCGGGCTCGGGGAACGAGATTGACAGATGACTGTTTTTAAGACAGGAACAACCGAACAAATTGCCTGTTTCTATAACAGATCCATAATTTATTGCAATTTCCGTCATTATCTGTGGTCTACAATGGTGTTCTACCCCAACCTCGTACCCAAGATCTTTACCTTTGGTTCTACCCTTGTTTATTAAGAGGAAATATTTTTCTATGTCGCGTAATATATGCTCAAAAGACAAAACCTCAGTTATATCTTCATGCAACAGCACTAAAATTTTCAGCATTAAAAATGTTTTGCAAACCTGAAAAGCATCCACAAAGCTTGTTTACTGTATAATCTCAAAATATTGTGGAAATGGAAAGATTTCTCGGGATACGCCGAGAAGAAAATGACACTTGAATCGAAGCTTCTTTTGTTTTCATTTCAGTTATAATGGCGTTGACATTATAACATTGTTGATAGCCGCATTATATTTTGTAATAACTCCTTTGTTTGGTGTTTCACCAAATACAGTTCAAAACTTAGTTCACAACATAATCTAAAGAATAAAGGTGAAATGAATTAATTTTGAGCGGTATGCCGAGTGAAATTATTAATTTTAACTAATTGTTGCTGCTATACGCCTGGCAGCGTCAGTTTGTGGCGTGTTTTTCACGCCCGCAACTCTGCAAGGCTGTTGAGTTTTTTCTGTGGGGCTGGTATTTTCATTATTTCATAACAACTTAATTTTCAACTATTGCGCTAAAAATGCTCATAATCATGCCATTCTTTCTATTATTTCCCATTTAATTATTCCAGAAAATTATCCAGAGTAGTTTGATCCGGAGGGAGTTGTGAATGTTTGTGTTGAATTCGCCTGTCATAAGTTTTCTTGGTAATCAGATTTCTTCAGCCTTCCATAATTCCATTCGAAATGAAAGAGGAAAAAGAGATTCCTCCACTGACAAGTGGTGATGGTAGTTTCGCTGGGTCTGCATCGTTCGTGAGTTCATGGAATGATATCCAAAACAGCGCATCCATTCTGATACCAAATTGGATCTTCTAAAACAAAATTGTCGTTTTTCGTCGACAAGTTTTCCAAGTGATAGCGATGATGCATATGACTCAGGTATATAATTTAATATTGTGAGGATGCTACTCGGAGTAACCAAGCTTGCAAGCTGAAACATTAGCTCGACCACGATGGGAATTGAACCCACGACCATTTGCTAGTCCACCATCGTACCTTGTTCAGCTTTAAAATTGTAAACTACCAGATATTGAGCTGTGTCTTTAGATATTGCCAATCTACCTTGCACGTCTACTGATGGCAATTTAAGAAGGATATTTAGGTATTTTAATACACTTAGCACAGCCAGTATTTAAACAAGTACTAACAAAGCAACTTGCTTTTACATCTCTTTATTAGTTCTTTGATAAATATGTTTGTCTGTTTTGTGATGGGCATACTACAGCATGGTTTAATTAATGAAAAGTGTATGATTTAAAAGCCATGTTACATTAGCAATTGCTGTATAAACCGTAATCAGCCACCAATCTACTACCAATATTGTTTTTACATTGGAGAAAAAAATGCCAATTGTCTCTATCATCTTGAAATAATGTAAATACTAACTAGATTTGCAGCTGAATACATACAGTCCATCAGAAAATTAATAACATCAATGTTCTAATTGCCAAGCAAACCCAAAACATTGAAAAATAATTATTGTCATTCTTAGAGATGTTTACAAGCGTACATTTTGATGTAATTCAGGCTTAATTTCATATACCAATGCTAAAATACGCTGAATCACTTCATCTTTATTATCTTCAACACTTTTCTCAATTTCTGCAAGTTTTGCTTTTGTGTCTTGCTCATCTTGAAGAACAAAATCATCCTTGGATCCCATATGCTAGATAGTAATTGTAATGCCAGTTAGCTGATGATAATATATTTAAGCAATATAAAATTACCTAATGGTTTCCGTGTTTGGATGGCCTCATCCAAACACAGGCTTTGACCAATCAAAACACGCGTTATATACATGTTATTATAAAGGATTTTCATCGCATACATTTCATGCCACAACCAAAGAAGTGAACACTTGACAATAGTAATGAATAGGGAATGGAAATTAATCTGATCAGTATTTCATAGCATATCATCTGGATAAGAATCGTAGAGGAAGATATGCAAACAATATGCAAACTTCAGTGCTTTAAAGTGGAAACAATGAGAAGATTGCAGCTATTTCCTGGAGCAATTATAGAATAGCCTGCCAACCCAACTCTTAACAGTGAATGCCATATAGTCTTCACTCTTATAGTAGATAAATGTACCTTGTTTTATGTTTCTTAATGCATGAAATGGACCTCGAGAGAACAAGAATAAATACTACTTTTAAAGAACAGGGCAATTCTATACTCTAAAATTGATCCTCTAACAGATCTTTAACACAATGCACTATTGGCAGACTATTCTATAATTGTACCGTGAATTGTCTATAACTACAGTTTTTAGGTATTATATAATTAATAATTATTATATTTTGAATCAACGACTAAGTGTTAGGAAACTACTTACGTCTTTTTGATAATCTTGAAATTCCTTCTCCTGCTCTTTACGAAAATTTTCAATTTCAGCTTGTGCCTCCTCTTTGGCTTCCTTCAACCTTTTCGTTTTGCCTGTCCATAAAATATTTTTGACAAAAATCTCAGACTTCATGTGATTAGAAATCAGTATGACTAAAACTTGAGACATAGAAAAAATTTGAACACCGGAGTATCTTAGGAGGCAGAGAAATATTTTCTTACGTTTTCTTGCGGCGCTTACTAATTCTGCAGCCGTCTTTTCTGCCGCTAAAAGTTGTTGAATCCCTTGCGATTGAGACGCCATCTTGGATTTTAAAAACAGATGCAAAGAAATGACCGAAATGACCTCACGCTTCTCACGTGACGACGACATGGGACCACACGGGGCGGAAACCCAGTGAGCTCCACATATATCTAATATTCAACATTTTTTGTTTGAAAACCTGCGAATTTGGGTGTTTCATGCAGTATTGGAGTTACTACAGGTCCAAAACTCTTGACATTAAATTATCAGCAGGAGGCAATCTATAGAATAGAGTGCCACAATCGAACAGAGTCAACAACGCTTTCATTCTTCTAAAACTTTAAATTTAAACACTAGGTAACACTGGTAAAACTAAATAAATTTTTTTGAATCAAGTGACATCAAGATTTTATTTTCAATAGGCAAATACTACATTTAATAGAAAGAATGGATGAATGCGTTTTAAAATTTTCCCCCATTATTTACTAATACCACAATATTAAACTTGAATGAACACGGTATTTAACGTTTCTAATACGTTCATCTTGGCAAGTTTGTGTGCGAGATTCTGTTTGGAGTAGAATTTTCCAACAAAGCCCCCAGCACATTCATCTCAGGAACCTTCACGCTTTATGTACAACAAATTAAAGATGAATTAATATTTTTACATTATTGGGGGTGAATATTGTCTTGTCATCGTCATCGTCTACGGTATTCTCATACGTGACATAACAGGTGCTGGCTGAAGGCAAGAAAGAAGAACACTTAGTTTCATCTTTGTTAAAACCTCCATCAAGATCACTTGCGTCAGAATATTCGTCGGTACACGTCTTCAAAACCACTGGCATGATGGTGCAATTGACTAGACCAATGAATTCTAATACTCGGACAATACTGAGAGGTGTTGTTGAGCTAAACAAATCTTTGCCAGAAGACGACTGTTTTCCTGCGCATGCGTTGTGAAGCGGATAGAAGTAAACAAGGAGGAGCAGACAGGTGGCCACGAGTACGTCAATCAGACAGGTAGGTAGATAAAAAGAGCGGGGGGAAATTTTGCGGGACTTTGCAAAGAGAAGCTCGACTTTCAGACACATACTGAAGATTACTGTAAACGGCAGTAGGAATTTAAAAAGAAGAATATACTTCATGTATAAATCTTCGTAGCGTTGACTTTCCCAAACTATCGCACACATTTTTGCGTTCGTGTTGTTAAATGTTATCTCAATACTATCCAGCGAGACCGCTAAAGGTGTGGTTAGAAGCATTGCGATGAACCATAAATTTATCACAATAAGGCAAGCACTGCCACGCGATAATACCACTCCGCTTTTTTTCCTGTAGTAGTACGCGACACATATACAGGCTAGATTTGAAATCGATACGGTCACGCCAAAAAAACCAAGCGAGGGAATGATTTTACAAAGGTAATCCAGCTGTGTTCCCGATTCTTGCAAACGTGCGCTATGTGTAGGCAAAAACGCATGTGAAAAAAGTCCGAGTAGATTGGCAAATACTTGATTACATATTATTACACGCATTCCACACAGCTTCTTGCTGAACTTCTCGCTGATGTACAAAACCAAGTAAACATTTGATAGGACTCCTCCAAGTAAGACTGCCAACGCAACCCAACTCTGTATTCGACTAGATGAGAGACTATGGTGGTGCAACCAATCCACCATCGAGCGAACGTCGTGAATATGAGATTCCATGGAATTACTGTATAAGAAGACCTTGAGAACGAGCTGTGCTATAGTTGTGTATAGCTGCAGGTTGGGTTATATTCACGCAAGTTTAGCATATAGCAACAAATGTGCGGGTGGCAATCGCAAACCGTTTGTTTACATCATCAGAATTAAATAAAAAATAAATATTCAGACACTCTGCTAAAAACTTAGGGAAACTTTAAGTTTTTAGGTAGGAAGTGTGAGTGAAATCTAACCAAAATTTAGAACAAAACCACGAAATTATAGCTTATTAGCAATGACATGTCGATTTCACACACCAGCCTGTTTCACAATTAGCACGCTTGTGTGGATATCATTAGCCGATCTCAATTTCAACGTATAACTTTAATTAAGTTATCCTAAGGGCTGTTTCCATTGTCGCGTTTTTTGCACGTACGTACAAGCACTCACTTATAAGCATAAAACTTTCTCTAAGTTGTTGTATAATTAATTTTATGCCTGAAAAACACCAAATCATCAGCAGAATCCAACCCTATGCATATTTTCAATCCTTGATTTCGTAAGTATACTATTTAAATTATTTTAAATTTTTACGCGTACAAAAAACGCGACAGTGGAAAGTAGCCCTAAGAATTTCTGTACAATAAAGTCCAATAACTGGTGCAGTGCATTTATAATATCATTCATATAAGAAAACAAATATTTAAAAGCTAGCTAATGTAACATAGCTACCGTAAAAAAATTAGAAGCGTCACGCGTTTTCTCAACTTCGTCAAAACGAGATAAATTTATAAATTTGTTCAAGAATGCTGGCTAACCTTGAATAACAGGCGAATATACTATTGTTGCAAAATTTTGCAGAGAAATGTTTTTAAAAATATTATAATTTCCGTGCATATATGCTAATTATGGGGTGTTCATATGAGCCAAGTTGATTTACATTTCGAGTTTTCTTTTAATGCAATTTCAACATCTGACATAATGAGATTCATTTATTGTTTCAGTTCTCCACTGGGCGAATTTATTCGCGCGACGCGAAGCGATATCTGAAATCCAGTGATGTGATTGTTTTGCGAAAAATTTCGGCGCGAAAAAGCAGAATCGCTTTCTATTTTTTATCTGTTCGCGCGAATAAATTCGCCTAGTGGAAAATGGGCTTTGCGCGAGTTTGCACCTGCTTAATTATTTATTTCAACCAGATTTTACCAAAGGAAAAGTAAGCTGATCCTATAGTATTGTATTTTTTTTCTTTGGCAAGAATGATTGAAATCAACCTAGCTGATAGAAAACGCCCGCTAGAAATTCCTTCCTATAATTTACTATTTCTTCATTTATACTTTTGACGGCTGAGATTTTTGAATTTAGAAGCCTAGCTTTAAGTGAATTATGTGAAAAATATTGTTGTTATTTATTGCATATTCTAATTAGGTTCTTATCTGATATCTTCCAGCTGTTGTGTAATATTTCACTCCCTTGAACGGTTTGTATTTCTATAGAGGGGGAAGCAAATAATTATTAACTGTGTGAGAAATAAAAAATAACTTAGTTTACTGCAAATTGTATTACAGTGCCTGGATGAGGTTAGTCAATTCACCTGAATTCCAATTCTTTTCGGCACGAGGCATCACTTTAGTAACAAAAGCCGTGCACATAACACCTGGGGCCGGTTGTTCAAAAGGCGTTTAGCTTAAACGGTGGTAAGCCAAAATTTAAAAATACTCTCATACATCTTGTGAATGACTAAATCTGCATCTTATGCATTAAATATGTACTTCCATTGAAAATCAAACTATTTACATCGAAATATTTTAAGTCATTTTGTTTTCCATTTTGAGCATATCCGCCGTTTGAGCTAAACGCCTTTCGAACAACCGGCCTAAGAGGTCTATACCTCTGAAGGATGAATATACAAAAAAGGGGAATTTCTTTTTACCTCTCCATAGATATCAAGCCTGCTAACTTTCAAACCTGAGGCAGCATAGGCACTGATTTTAAAGTTTAGCTGAAAAAAAAATTGTCGTAATGTTTGAAAAAATCAGACCAGGCAGAGACAACCAATAGAAGTGGTGTTAGAACGAGACGAACAATAGACTTAAGTTCTTCGAAAGTTTGCATGGCGATAACTTCCGGCCTTACTGCCCATTTCTTGCTGCTTCAAGATCTGTTACGAGCCTAGGGTACGTGGGACATGGCCAGCAGGAAAAGTGTGTGAAATTGAGGCATTTTCACTGAGCATTTGAATCAAGTCACCTTTTGGGGATCCAATATCTCGAGCTTAATCTTTTAAAACTGTCAAATTCAGGTTTCAGATTCGGAAAATGAGAGACCTTAGGATGATCCCTGCGATAAGGAAACATCCCACGACTTGTTTCTCTCCAATGTATATCACTATATCAGTATCCTTGGCTAACATTATAAATTAAGAACAAAAATGAAGAGATACTCACAAATATGGTGGGACTCTCTTCAGGAGGAGGGACGCCAGTTTGTAAAGATATCTAAAAGAAATCATAACCCATTAATGGAAGTATACCGAAGTATACCACGACAACCACTTCATGAAGGAAGTTCAATCAATTTCTTGGTTTGTTGAACTTGTTAGTTTTCAAATCTTCTTACTTCATCCCCCTTCGTCACAGTCAATAAACAAGTTCACAACCTAAAACTTACGTTGCCTTTAATACTTGGTGTAGGATTCTGTGCTTGTAATTTGCCAATCTAGAAAGAAATTCACTCAAAGAGTAAAATAAATCTCGACCAACTTTTAATAGTCAAGTAATACGATGTGCACCCTGGTTGACATCTGCATGCTGGGTATTAAATAACGACAGTTACATGTCGTAAAACATCAAAAATTGAACCAAAGAAACATGTTTACCTCCCAAGTAAGTTCTTTCTTTATTGGATCAAACGAATATGTACCAACTAAAATGAAACACAACATTGCAATGGTTATTCTCTAAGATTACACGCAGACACTTTCCGTCCAGGGAGTGCAAGGCGTGTTCACTAATATTTTTCCAAACATACTGTATGTATCGCATTGAGGGTGTTTGCATGCAGTGTACTGTATATGCTGGGTACTTCGTTTATGACTCATGCTTGTTCCAGAAATATTCGACGCCAAATTCTTCAGTATTTGTACTCAGAATCAGAATCAATTAATCAAAAGATACAGATACACAAATCACTCCTTTTAAACGACCAGTATCTAAAACTATTCTCTAATCGCAGGCTAATTGAGAAAACCGAAGCTGATTACATATTCTCACAATGTACCCACCATTCTGGGACAGGTTAACATTGAGAACTTGTTTTGGAAAAGGAACGGTCACCACAACGTTTTCCACCTACAAAATATTCCGCGAAATTAGAGTGATCCATCATCGGGGGTTCGTGATGCACGTGCTCTACCCGTGCTCAACACGTGCCCTAATGACGAGTGGTTAGTTTTGGAAGAGATGACCGAAGTACATTTTAAAAGTGATAGTAACCGAACTAATACTTACGTTTTTACCCATATTTTGTTTTGTCCCTACAGTTAACTCAAATCTTCCAGTCCCTCCCTAAAAGTACCATGTACGTTAAATGTAGCTAATACATATTAGGTGAAAGTGTTTCCAAACCTGGGTATTTATTTAGACTAGGTGTGATAAACAGCACCTGCAAGGTAGCCTCGATTAAAATACACTGTATGAAGGCCCGTTTACACTTGCGATTTTATGTGCGATTCTCTCCTTTTGATAGATGCAAATGAGTGAATAAGTTACGGATGTTGAAATAAGGAGACCTACACATTAGAGCATTCGTAACTTTTTGCTCGTTTCCATCTGTCAAAAGATGAAAATCGCACATAAAATCGTAGCAAAATTTGCAAATGCAAACGGGCGTTAAAGTAGAAAAAGCACAAACCTACCTCTTGGAAAAGAACTCGAGGCTTGCCGTACAAAGGTAACATATGTACTCTAAAAAATCACATCATCGGTGAAAGAGTTTTTTAAATAAAACTTCTTTTATAATGGCCGTTTTGACACTACAATAATGGTCGTCTTCAGTGTGAAGACCGACAACAGACGCATAATGCGTCCAGACGATTAATGTTCAGTTTTTCGTCTCAGAGACGCATAACCAACGATAGTTCGTCTAGATGGATAATGCGTCTGCCCGAGTGAGGACGGCACATAGACGAATAATTCTGGAAAATGAGACAGTGATAAAATAAACCAGAAATTCTAATGTAATCTATTCGCGCGGGTTTCCATAGACTTATTCGTCTGATTAGTTGTCCCGCCTTTATACTAGACAAAAAATATTGAAGACGCGTCTCTAGTGTGAAAACGGCCAACGCAATGAAACGATTGTTGATGTTCCGGCAACACGATCACAATCACAAAACGATACATCCACGACAGTTGGAATGCACGTTGTGGTTCTGTACAAGTCTGTAGACGTTCACTAACTTACCCTGTGCTAACATTATATGATATCAATCGAAAACGTCCATCTGGTGGAACAAATGACAGAATACGTTCAGACTAAAAATGAAAAATTACCCACATGGAAATCGTATTTCAGTGTGGCATTTCACAGATAATATTGTTCAACCGTACATTCCAAAGTCTAACGTCTTCAATAATAAAAAAGTTGCCTCTAGATGGAAAAGTGTACTTGATTGAATATCTACCTCCCATCTCCTGAAACGAAGGCATGGATGAAAACTAACATCCTCCAGCACCCTTGGATTTATGAAACACATATTGAGATCTTAAGCACAATAAAATAGATGTTATTTTGTGAAAAGGCAGGCCAAAATTCTTGTGTGGGTAGGTGTGAAATGCCTCTAGGTTAACTAATCAAGTGGAACTGTGCCTACCTGGCATTCCAGATAATTTGCAGTTGCAATCAATCTAGATCATCAAAACAGATGCAATGAGAAGATTGAACTTTGCAGTAAGTTTGTGCAGTAAAATATCTAAATCACAATATATGGGGCACTTACTGTTCCTTGAATTTCAGAAAATATTGTTGTTCCCTAGGACAGTTAATATCAGTTAGTGATCAGATTTCTCATACAAAAAAAAATCAACATTCAGCATTACCTGTTTATCTATAATGGCGTCAATACTCTCAGCAACATCAAAATATATCTGTAAAAATAAGGTATCGCTTAAGGTAACTGCTTAAGTGAAAATACAACCAAATTAGAGCTAACTGCTGGGCTTACTTCATTATTTGCATATTTCACTCCAGTTCTTCTCCAAGGAACATTGGATAATTGACCCGTAGGTAGATGGCTACTTAGACTACAAGAAAAATATGTTTACAATTACAGTATTTCAATGAATACACACTTTTTATGATTGATTTATGTGGCTGATTTCTGTGGCTGATTTCCATGGTTCCTTGGTTAGGTAGATGGATGGATAAGCTTTATTTAAGCAGGGCGACCTAATCAGTAAAAACTGTTCTCTCTTGGGACCCCAGTTCAACTGAGTTTTGAAATAATGGATGTTTTTCCATGAGATTTTTATTAAGAATTATTCATGTGTTGCGATAAAGTTGGCCAAGATATGCAAACAGCCTTCATTGAATTTTTGCATTTAATGTGAATGCAAGTGAATTTAATGTTTTAGTCTGATATGTAACATATAAAAATGAAATGCCAGCTGAGTGGAAATCAGAACTTAATCTCATCCAAGTGCACAAATTAATTCATACAAGACAAAGTTTTCTGCAGTACATTACTAGTGAGTGCATTCTACAATCCAATTACTATCAATATTCCAACACTAATGACTATTCTTACTTGCTGTCTCCTGTGACTTTATTTACGACATTTCTGACAATACTTGGAGGTCGGATAAGTTCTTTTAAAACATTGGATTCCGTTGCTAAAGGAAACCCATTATCGAGCATCTCCTCCAGCAACTGCAGAGAAAATATAGAATAATTTCAATGCTTATGAAAAGATAGATAGGTTGGGATTAAAGATTTAAAACATTGCATTTTATACAAAACTGATATCCACAAGCTGCTAGCTCAGAATCATCTCATGTTCACCATTACCTCATATACAACAACACAGTTGTCTTTGATGATAGTTTCTGAACAGTCTGAGAAATATTCCACAATTAGGTCAACCACTTTATGAAGAAACTCAATCACAAAGAGTGGTGCAACTAAAAAAATAATAGAAAAAAAAATTAGAATTTTATAAATTGGTCAAAGAAACAAATATCTGCTGACTTTCAACCTGACTTCCCAAATTAGGTTTTCTGTGGAGTATGGATTAGGTACATAGGACAGGATATGTGGATGAGCTATTAAATTATTACAAACCTTCACTTTCAACAACAGAAACAAAGAACAAATCATTTCTGAATATGCTGATTAAATAACTGAATCCTGTTGCAATAACAGGAGGAATATCTTCAGGAGAATTTGCCTAAATAAAAAAAACACTCCACAATGGGATAAAGTATAACAACCTTTATAAGAAGAGGACAAAGAATACTGACCTTTCCCTGAGCTTCAAAGAAATAATCACATACTGAACGTCCCAAGACACTTCTCCAATGTTTTTCCAAAAATATATCACTTATTAAAAGAAAAGTACTAACATATATCACTAGTACTTGACCAAATAATGCATCACATGTCAATAGTGTGTCAAATTTGGTAAAAAAAAACACCAGGTACAAAGTTGAATTCCTGGGGTGCTTAGGAAGATTCCATTGCTCCTCTACAATTACCCTATCATGCGTTCTTTCTTTAGCCACTTCTATATAGAGCCTGGATAAATTATGGTAACTTCCCCACTTGATAGGTTGTTAATGGGGTAAAGGGGTAGTAACCATTAGTGCAACTAACACACAGTTCAGAATATTAAATAACAAGGGCTGGGCTGAGACCCAGACTGTGTTTCCATGGAAAGTGCTTGAAATACAATGGTCGAATTTATGGTACCTGTTTTGCAATACTGTATCTTAAATCTTTATTATATACATTATAAAACTCAATACTCTTTTTACGCCCTTGAAGGACCGCTTTGCACCCTATCCTGGTCCTAGATTTTCATTTCTTGTGACCAGGAATCGTACAGCCAACATATAGTATTCACCGTGACAGGTTAAACGACGTAAAAAGGTCTGACAAGTATCACGTATCTGATTTCACTATCAAATATATAAAACGATATAACAAATTGTATCGAATTATACATACCCTGAATGATTGATAATGAACAAGCTATGTATCATTTTTACAACGACATAAAACCAAGATACTTTTCAAGACAACAAACACACAAAATATTCAGATTTTGCTTCACAGAGGAGTAAAATTTTAACCAATAATCCTGTGATTGTTCTTTATTTGCTCCAAGAAAGAAGAATTGATCGTGAAGTTCCGAAAATAAAGAGCCTGCTGTCCAGTTATTTTTAGGTCAGTATAACTAATTAGATACTTTGTATTATTATTGTATAATGTTAGAATGACAATTGTTGATCAATACAGGGTGTATCAAAAAAAGGGGTATCCAACTTCAATACGATATTGTACGTAAACTATTGAGTTCATAAACAAAATTTTTACACACTCGGAAAGATAAGGCTTTTAACTTCCGAATTATATGTTTTTGAAACCAAAGTCCCGGACAAAGGGTAAGCAAATACGAGGCTGATACTGTGATACAAAATGTTACTAAGAATCGCATATAATACCAGAATAATGTCTTTTTTTACAACTACTGTAAATCTTATTTTATCTATAATTTCTCGATGGTCAAATCAGGGACACCGGAACTGGGGGCAACAGGAAGAGGAAGCCTTTTGGATAAAAAGATAGACTTATTTGCAATTTACAACAATGACAACTGACAAGCTTAAAAAATTATCAATTCGTTTCCGTAATTCGTTTGCGTAACACTAGAGAAGATTCCAGTCAGACGAGTCAGTACCGATGTTTTCCAAACAGTTTCGTCAGTCTCTATAGTATGCGTCAATTTAAAAGTGCATCGTCCCAGTGTCCCTAGCTGATTAAAATATTTTTAAAGCATTAAATTAAAGTGCTGGGGCCGGTTGCGATATCCACCGGCACCGGATAGTGATTTTTTCAACTGTTCTAAAAATGCTCGAAAAAGCGATAAAATTTCATTTTTGGAACCAGCAATTATTAAAGAGGATACTCGATTTAGGAATACTAAGATTTAATCAAAGTTATAGCAAACAACGGGTGATTTTAAAGCCGGATTGAAAAAAACACTACCGCTATCCGGCTTTCATACAACCGGCCCCTGTAATATTTTTAACATTAAAATAATTTATCTTTTAGCGTATACCTGTATAGAATATTGTATACCTGTATCAAATATTTTTAGTAAGTGAATAAAATGAACAGTTTTTAGTCAGGGCTCCAGTTGATAATAAATAGTTCATACTTTTAATTGCTGATGGATTCACCTGTGAGCTAAAATAATGTTTTGTTATCCTAACATGTTTCAGTATTATTATCATTATTAGATAAGTGATGTTTAAATTTTCAAAAAAGTGTTTATTTGTGACAGGGAATATTTTTCAGGGAGTTTATAAGATTTTGCATGGCTGCAACTTCTTGCCGAAGTTTAGAAACTCGCGGTTTATGTTCGTCAAGCCATTTTTGTTGTTCATTCTTCCCTTGACGTAATTTCTCTATTGAACTACTCAACTTCAATGCTTGAAAATCATCTCGAATCCTCGTGATATCAGAAATCATTCCCGCGAGTGGTTTTGTGTTCAGTGATGGTAACGCATTGTAGCTGCTTTTTGTTTTATCCACCTCTTTGGAAACATTATTGACTCTTTCCAAGAGGTTTACTGCCGCTGAGTGTGTTGCTGTTGTGTTCGCCAAAATGGCGCGCGTATCTCGCTGAATTGCAGCGCATTTTTCGTGAATCGGAGTGACCTGGTTCTCGATATGATCCAGAACCATTTGGTGATTTCTGACCACCGTAGCTGCTTTTTCATCCGCTGTGTCATTTTTCAGTTTCTGAGCAAGCACGAATGCATTGGAAATTGCCTGTGAAATGAGGATAAATTTACTTAAGGCCAGATTTTTTTGGTGGTGGTTTCATGAGTACAAATTGCTCGACTTATATAATTTACTAATTTCAGCAAGAATTGTCCGAATTCTAGTAGAAATGGATGAAAATCTGCCCAACTTATCTAGTACTATGACTTCATCAGTGATATTACCAATACTTTTAGGAAAAAAGGTGTCAACTCTGCGGAAACTAAAGTGGCTAATCTTCTAAATTTCAGCACGCGCATGTTCAAGAAAAAATGGCCGAGTTCAACAACTTACCTCTTTTTCTCGTCTGGCATTTTCTTCAATTTCTTTTGCCAGACTAACTAAGGAATGAGAGGAGTTATAAGACGAGTGCAATGACTGGGAAACATTACCCGCGTATTCAATCTTCGATTGATAGAAAGCTGTCAATTCAGTCGCATCTTGTAAAGCCATCTCGGACGTTTCTTCAGCTCGTTGCACTACAGTTTTATAGTTTCCTACTGTGTCAAGAATCTGGCTTGCCCGTTCTTGGATACTTTTGGCTTCATCTATTGCACTCAATGCATCGTCCCGGTAGTTTTTGCTTTCAGAATGATAATCTCTTGCTTGTTGTTGGAAAGTTTCCACTTGTTCCTTAAGAAATGTATTAGATTCTACTTGTGAGAGTAGAAGTGATATCAAAACAACGACATTTCACAATGACGAGCAACTTCCAAGGCTAGGCATTCCTGGCCAATGTTTGTTTATAGGTTCAAGTGAAAATTATATTGTTCCTTTTATTGAATATTTAATTATCTACGTTTAAGGGAATTTAACACGGAATACCTGAAGAACTGTCAATTGATTCAGTGCATTGTTGATTTTATTTACATCCTCCGAGAACTTTTCGGAAGCTTTCTGAACGGCCTCAAGAACGTCCGTGGCATTTCTACGTATCTCCTGGGCGAGTATTTTAAGCAATGACGCCTCCTGACAAATAATGCAAGACAACGAGGAATAAAGTGAGTGGATTATTTATCAAGTTTTAAAGGTGGGAATAAAATAACAATTTTCGATACCTTTGTAATGCTGGGAGTACTGTTAGATGTATGTATCTCCAGATGTGACGTCACATTGAATACAATTGACGCATTGTTATACCGCTGTCGTGCTGTATCGTAGGCGTTCTTTCCTAGCTTTGTCACAGAAGTTATATTAGCTTGTAACGTAAGAACTTTTGACGCCAGGGAATCAAACAATTTTATTGCATTTGTTGCATCCTCCTTCGCTGTGATTATCAAATCCATCGTTGTTTCTAATTGATCGTGAATTGTTTGGTTTGTGTTAATTATCTCTTTCACTTTATCCATGGAATGTGCGTTTATTTGTTCTAACTCTACCATCCAGCGGTCTAAAAGTATTAACGCTGTTTGAATTTCATTCCCAACACCATCTACAGTGTTGTTCAACGAATTATAGGAGTGTATGATGAGGTTATGGATCTCCAGCATAATGTTCCTTGTTTGATGGTATTGGTTTTGTATTCTGTTCATAGCAATTATTGTTTCGTTCACGTCAGATTCTTTTTGTGAAGCACTTTCTCCTAAAACTTCCAAGATACTAAAACCTCTCTCCTGCTGTTGTTTGGCGCTTTCCTCTTCAGCAGCGAGAGTCTTTGAAAATGAATAAATTAGGTAAGTGGAAGGGCTCTTAATATTGTGAGATATGGGGCAAACTGGTTTCGTTTGCTTGAACAGATTTGGAAGACATGCTGGCTAAAATTAGCGTGCTTGATTTATCTATCTTTGTGCGTGAATTTGTCCCCATTGTGCTTACGTTAGTTCCTTTGTAGAATATGTGGATTTAATTACCTTGGATCTGGTAACTGTTTCTTCAACACGATATTCTGTGATTCGCAGTTGTTCAGTAAAATTAACTGATTGACTCAGTATACTCATGTCCAGCAACGAATGAAGAAGAATCCCCAAATTAATTATTTGCTCTCGAAATTTGTCAACCTCGACTTTTATCATCCCAAAGCAGGAAGGACACTCTATATTTGAAAGATATTGATATACTTGGGAGGTTCTTCAGCTGTGCCAAAGGAGAATATTCATAGGTATTTCCTGCAGGTTGGAGAGTTGATCGGAGACCGACACCGCAGAAATTGGTGTTTAAGACGTTTCAACCCGAAAATCTAATCGCTGGTTCACAATTGTGCATTTCTGTATCGCCCTATCAAAGAGAAACCTTTTGAATATCTTAAAAAAGTTCAATTTTTCTTCTGAATACGCATTCTGCAATCTTTTGACAGCTCATCATACACATCTGACCGCTGTGAAATGGCCATTTTGAGGCTTAAAGTATACACAAGGTTATTAATTACGACGATTCGTTTTTACCGTGAGCAAGCTTCAAATCTTTTGTGCAAGACATATTTTCTTGAATATTTATAAATCTTTTTCCTCACCAAGTTTGAAGTCTAAGTATCGAGAATTGCGGCTAAGCCTATACCAATTTCCGCGGTGTCTCGGAGACCAGGTAGGGAAGGGGACAGGTAGGGAGGCAAAGTTTTTTTATATAACATACTGTGAAATACAAGCGGGTAAAATGTACCTTCGCAATTCAAACTGCTTTCAGTTCTGTTCCAGGCATTCTCTTGACACACATTACATCTTCGTCCACCAGTATGCAGGGTTTGGTTACATTTACACTGACCTGTTGTCAGGTTACAACTGGATGTATTCCCATAGATGGTCCCAGGTAGGTGACAATCACAAGCTAGATGGTTTCATTTATTTAATTTTTTTTAGGTTTACAGCGACAAGGCTTTATAATTATTATATCGGGTATTTCCCAGAGGTTAGTGCTAAATAAAAAATTGATTTAGATGCAATAATAACTTACGTTTGCAGTTTTTGTGATCTTGAGTAAGTCCATAAAATCCGTCAGCGCAAACATTGCAATATGGCCCAACCACGTTAAACTCACAATCCTCACAGTGATCCCCAGTACTTCCAATATCACAACCAACACACACGCCGGTTTCTGGATGACACTGACTTGATCGACCATTACAAGAACACAAAACACACCTTGAGAATGGACCAGAATTTGCCGTTTCACGCGTGAAACCTAAAAATATCAAAGACTAACAGTGAAAGAACAACAATAGACGTTTTCGATCATTACGTCACAACATTTTTGTCCTTAATTTAGAACAACGTTAAATAAGATTGATTTCAAGTTTTATTTTCACAAGAAAAAGACATCCTTCTTTAACACATTCATGAAAAAGAATTTTTCACTGTGATAAATTAATAAGAGTGGAAATAAGCCATAACACGAGAGAGAGAAACTAGCACTTCCTTGAAACTAGCTTTCTAGAGAGCTAATTTCAGTAATTTAAGTTAATAGTTTTCAACCTAATCCTAGCAAACTGCTCTAGATGAAAGGTTTTCTCATCCTTGAGATCAAAGCCGCTGCGTAGCCCTGGGACGAGGATGAGATGGGGGAATTTACCAAAAAGATGGAAGGACCAAGGAGCGAAGTTGTTGAGCCCAATCAACCCATAGAAAAGAAATAATTCATACCTGTGGCACATGCCTCACAAGACAATCCAGTATAGTTTTCGAAACAAGTCATATTCTCAACAAATCCAATTTGTTCATTAGCAATTGAAGGATCAAATCTCGCAGACTGAAGAACGATTTCTCTGACGACCATTTCTGATTGAATTTTTAATGCAAGTGAACTGATATTAGATAGCAAGGACTGGAATTTAAACGCGGACAACACTCTGTCGTCTGTACTTAAGTGGCTTTCATCTAACGTGAAGATTAACTCTTTTCCATTTCCAAAATCCCTTATCTCTGGTTGAAGTTCAGCGTCGTAGCCCATTCCAGTGAGAACCAGAGAAATTTCTTCAGCAGATATGAACGTGGACGTGGATACCTATATAAGAGCATTTTTTTTGTTATTAGCCGTTTCGCACAAAATATACCTATAAATGCATCGAACAACTGCTGGATTCATTATGTATGTTCGAATGGAGTGTACACCCCCCCTCAACCTCGTTCCCAGGGACATTCTCTACCCCAAACGGAAACGGAAATTAGCCCTAGGAACGAGGTGCCCCCCCCCCCTTGCCTCCCATTTACGGAATATTTCATCCTAAAAAAGGCTGAATATTATATCTCCTCGAACTCACAGAACAAGGTTATTCAAAAAGGAAAAACTTACTGTCATTGAGAGTTTTTGTCTGTACGAGTTGAGATGTAACCCCAGATATATGTTTGGGGCGAGGAGTGTCAGATTACCACGGATAGACAAGCCATTTCGGCCAGGAAATGCTGTTGCACCAGTGCTATTTGCAGTAATTAACCATCCACCCAGTGAAAAACCTATAATTATTTCAATTTTGGTAGTATTTTATTCCAGTGTGATTTCGGTTAAACAGCCCAGTGCATTGGATCCCAGCTACTACCTACCAGTAAAATCCGTGCTTATATTGGCTGACACGAATCCTTGAGCTGAACTGCATCTCGTTCCATGGCCGTAACCAAAACAAGATTGACATCCTTGTTGATTCCTGGCATCCAAGTTGAATGTGCCAACCTTACACTCACTACATCCGTCGCCTTCTGTGTGTAACTTGCATTGACAAAACCCAGTTGCAAAGTCACAAACGCTTGTTTCTGAACCAGCATTGTCACATTCACACACTAAAGTCGAGAAATTGACGAACATTTTGATATCTCGCTTAACTTGACTAAACCTTGCCCCTGCTTATCTAAGTATAATAAGCTAATGCATGTAGCATTATAGTCAAATATAATACAGTCAATGCACGTTCTTAGTAATTGAAAACAACAAAAAGGACGTGGTGAAGATCATTATTCGAACCTATTTTGAGATGTTTTAAAAGATATATTCCAGTCTATACGTATACGCAATATTTGTTGCTATACCTAAATTTGCATTTGTCTTAATATCAGCGGCCAAGATGGCGAGACGAACGGGATAATTACACTGGGGCGTGCATGAAAGGGGTTAACCAAGGAAATACTAAGGGTGTCCCATTGCCTACGGCCTGCCCTTTAAGATAACGCTAATTTTGACATTAAAGAATTGCAGTGGAGCTTAAAAAACCGAATATAGGCCCAGACTGAAATATTGACCAGGAACCTCTTCTTCTCAACGCGCCTGGCTGCGCAGGTCTACCATGATCCGCTCAAAACCATACCTACCTTTACAATCTCCTTCACCAAAACCATAATAACCTGGCAAGCAATAGGAACATCTTCTTCCACTGACTCCAGTAAAACATTCACATTGACCTCCGATTTTCTTACAACTTCTTTCTTTAGCTCCGTCTGGATCACAATCACACGCTATTTGATAAAATGAGATCATTTTACTGAGTTGTTATTGATCAATCAGATTCGACTTAACTAATCAAGGTTAGTTTAACTCATTCTATAAAACCTGCCCTAGCAGAGTTACAAAAATGCTGCGGGTACACGGGCACCACCCGTTAGAAAGGTTCACTTTGAATGAGGTTTGTGACGAAGGATGCATGCATGTACACAAAAGATGATGGTTGGCACTTGACTCAGGTTCTATTGTGTTAGTTACCAATTCAACTAGCACCAGATAACTAATAGTCTAATACCAGACTAGGAAGGCATGATGATTCATATGACCGATGTGAGTGACGCGACGTCATTTTGAAACTCTCTTTGCAACTCTGTGCCCTAGATTGGTAGAATGTATATAGGTGTTGTCCTGAAGCAAGGTCAGGAATAGAGAATGACAAACAGGTCCTCGCTGGATTTTGTGATGTACGTAGCACTAGTTTTCTGATCTAAACTACAAGAAAATGGCTTGCAAATTTATATGATAGTTAACTTAATCATTTCTCTGGTGTTTTGTTCACGTTAGCATCCAATAATTGTTTTTTAAACATCTCAAATTAAATGGAATATCAATTTGTAGGAAGATATCAAGACTTACCTAATGCGCCATCATAAACTTCAGCACTGAATGAAAACACCACACCAGAACATCCAGTATCAGTATGACTTGTGCTGGAAAGATATGTCGCATTGAAAAAGCAACGTGATAAATTCCCTATGGCGTTTATTTCTTCGCTAATTCTAGTTGGAGTTAAATCTGGTTTCAAAACAAGGGAATCCACGAGTAAACCGTCCACTGGACCATTCCCTGAACTTTTCAGGCTTACGGTTATGTTATAAAGTTTATTGGCTGCTAGTGAAAACGTTTCCCTTGTTATAAATGATTTTGCATCGATTCGAAGTTGGTTTTTCATTGAAGATATCTCGGAACTCATCAGATCATTACTCATAACAGTTATATTAAAGACAGAGTTGGAATGCTGCGGACTATTTGCATATCTCATAACAAGATAATATCGCCAGGTGACATTCACTTTGATGTTTGTAAACTGGATGGATGTGTCTGGTGACAAAAGGACGAAACCTTTCCCAGTGTATTGGTCTTGTTCTGGACTCTTATAATGTATGTTGTTGTTTTCATCCTGAAACTCGGCTTCAAAAAGAAGGTAATCAAAATGAGGAACGAAAAATCCAGGTTTGGGTACAGTACAGTATTCGCCTTCGATGTTCGGTCTACAGTTACAATGACCTAGAAAACGAAAGGGCAAACGGTTAACGTAGACAATCATAACAGGGGTGGATTCAGACTGATGCGACTCACGCGAATGCATCAGTCAAAATCTCAAACACAAAAAGTTAAATACGACATTGGCAGAAGGTTAAGACTAGCTTTCTTTCTAAAAATGCCGATGTATATTATCCCTAATCAGTTAACAGGAACATTGTATATTCGATGGTAAACGAATCCTTGGTAAGGTCGAATATACCGAAATATAGTATATTTTCGACCATGATCGAATATACCATAATTATTCTGAACACACCATGGTCGATCATGGTCGAATATAACATTTATACAATTTCGATCATGGTCGAATATACCATATTCTGAACATACCCGATGTCGATCATGGTTGAATATACCATTTTCCGGTATATTCGACCATGATCGAATGTACCATTTTTCGGTTATAAAGGTTTACATTTTAAAGTTAAATTTTATAACAGGGTATCAAGCTACAAATATTTTTAGAATGATTGATTGCCTTTAATTTGCTGAACAAAGCCGAATGTTACGGGACTCTGTAACATTGATTTACAAATAAAAGCAGAAAATATGAGTGAAACACCTAAGAATTATATACGATCAAATATTCACGATATTATTGAGTTCACGTCTTACCTGTTTGTTTTTCACAAATTTCATACGCGCCTCCAACATTACATGGGCATTTCTGACAGTCTGACTCTCGTTTGGTAGGGAAAAAGTAGAAGCCATCTTTACATTCGCTACATTTTCCCCCCTCGATGTTCGATTTGCAAAAACAATTTCCGGTTTGTTGATCGCACGTTTGACTGTTGTTCATAGTTCCAAACGCGTTGCAGCTGCACGCTAAATGTTTGAAAGAAATAACTGGATGTTAAAAAATGAAAGTTAAAGAGTCAGAAGGCAGTCTACTAGCCGCTTCTGAGGTTTTTCCTGGGATGTTAACATTTAATATAGATGACTTATCATTAAGAATTTTCTTTACAATGTTCAATTGATACCATATTTGATGCCATCTATTATAGGAGGTTTTATTTTGCTTAAATGTGGAACAAATTAAAATCATGGGGTTTATAACAGTTGCTCATGCTACCTTGACAGTGTCCTCCAGGTGGCAACCTGAATCCCCAGTATCCTGGAACGCATTCATCACACTGTCGTCCAAACACGTTATCTTTACAATTACACTGACCCAGAAGTACGTCCGCTCTATCCATGTCTTGATTGCAAGAACCATTGTCAGTTATACCAGCAGGGAAACAGTTGCAAGCTTGAAAAAACACAGAATCACCAATTTAACATTAGAGAAAGAAGTGAAGGAAAACAGCATTGTAACTAAGGTTCGCCATATTACATATGTTATCTCACAAGGTCCTGTGGTTCTAATCCTAGCTATTTGGATCCCAACATGTACTGATTTCAAAATGGAAAACAAATCAAAAGATCCATTGAGTACTTTCCACCCTAACCCATCTTAGGTTAGCCCTTGGTAACCCTCCAAGGGCTTGAATTCACCGGTACCGAAATATGAATAGAGTTCGACAGTTGAGGCTCTTTACAGTAGCATTGACGTTGTCTATAGTGAACAATAATACGTACGGATGCAGACATGGGAATCATTCAGCGGTTTCTCAACATCTCTGTAAAATCCATCAGCACACGCATGACAATACGCTCCGGTGGTGTTGTCTTTGCAATTAATACAATGACCTCTACCAATAGTTGCGTTGTAAATACAGGATGTCGCATGCTCATTACAGTTGCATTCTGTTGGAAGAAAAGATCAAGTTTAAGTAAGATATAGCAGAGTATAATTCTGGAAACATTGCATCATTTATGGTTAAAATACCGGATATGAACTCACATTTTCATTGGAAAAAGAGGTATATTAATATATTACATCACTTTACTTACTCTGACATTCATTAGCGTCAGTTGTATTCGCAGGTCTCCACGGCTGATTATTATACAGCGGTCTACAATGTTCACAGTCTCGACCCATCGTATTATGTTCACAAAAACAATACTGGTCCATTCCTACGCCATCGCAATACTCGGCGTGGCCATGACAGTTGCAACGTCCGTCAATACGGATGTCCGAGATTGCGTAATAATATCGATTCAATGTCACCTCAGAATTTATCAGTTCCAGCCCATCCGTTCCTGGGTATTCCAGACGAAGTCTAACATGTGTTGACAACATGTAACTTTGAATACGAGGAGTCATGTAATCTTCTGGAGGGTAGCGAGCGTATGCCTGGAACTCAACGATGCCATTCTTCGATGGAAATTGTCCACTGTAGTCTTCACTACATGTTACCTGGTAAAAAGCCATAGTGAAACAGTTTGTTTTTATAATTCATGTAAAGTATTTTCATTTTTCGGTAACCACAACCAAGAAATAGTAGAGAAATAGTTTTTTACTGTATTTTGTACCTTCGCGTGTCAAATGCCTCAATGAGCTTCGGCCTCTACTTATTATAGTCTAAAGACAAGTAATTACCTCCAAAGGATTTTCTTTAGGAGGTGATTCACTTGGGCTCATTCCATAAGTGGAAACACAGTCTTCAGCAAAATACTGATAAGGCATCCAACTTGTTCCACTGTCATTAGATCTCTCGATTATCATTGCCTGCGGTCGTTCTGAGTAGAAAGTCACTCTTATTTTGCCTGATACATGGTACGACTTGCCAAACGCAACAGTGATATTAACGTGAAGAGCTTGGCCAATTTTTGTAATTCCTTTTTGAATGGCATCCCACCAAGTGTCAGACTGCCACCATGTTGAACTTTCGTCAACCTGTAGAGCAGATTACAGAATTTTTATGTAAAAATATATTCTTTTTTTAATATCTCATGCATGCATGGCCCTAAAGCAACTTTTTATTTTATAATTAGACTATTATAAATAAGAACAGAGAACGTCTTCTGTATCTATATCTGTAGCCCCGTTTACACTACACTCGATTTATTGCCACGGCACGGCTAAAATTGGTACCCGTGCCCATTTCATCTGTGTTCGGCCTTTGTTTTGGTAGCCTGAACATTAATAAAATTGGGTACGGGTACCAATTTTAGCCGTGCCGATAAATTGAGTGTAGGGTAAACGAGGCTTGTATGCATGTGTCAAGCAATATATACACACATCTTTATAATTATCCAACATTTTAACTCAGTTTGACATTTGCGTGCAAGAATTACAGGCGCGGATCTAGGGGTAGGCAACATAGTCAAGTGACTATGGTAAATTATCCAGATAATAATTACCGAATTCCCAGTTCCAATTCCCAAAGTGTTCATTCATAAGTGGAAACATGACAGTTAATTATTCATATTTTCATATCACAGTCCAGTTATTTATAGATATATAGCTCATTGGTATTTAGGCAAGCCATGAGGCAAGCCAATGAGAAGCAGCCACTGAGCTATATAATAATTCCTGGAGGACCGGCTCGTCATTTCTCGGTAACTTCGCCGCCATCTTTTTGTCCGCAAAAACATGGCGGACTTCGCCCTTCTGCGCAACCGCAGAAGCTCTGCTGACGCCACATGGTTCCTTTTGGCCATGGTAGTTACCACTGACCGGGCTCAATAATGAGCCCGCTACAAGGGTGTTCTCCCCCCTGGATTTAGTAAACAACAGGTTCTCCCCCCTGGCCTTTATAAAAAAAATTTCCCGTGAAAACTTGTTTTGTTTTTTTGAAATATAAAGTCATGAAAACATCATTAATTGCATTTTTTTGAAATATGAAGCGTTTTTTTAAGATGAATACAAGTCGTAGACGCTGTTATTGCCAACGCAAGAACAAATATATACTAAAACGTCAAAAAATTGTGGACAAAATTGAAGATTTTCGTACAGGCGTTTTTGTTCGTGACAGGTGTTTTTCATTATATTTTCATTATTCTACATTCCTATAACAAATACTTGAACTTTTTGGCACTATTGTCGGACATTTTTGGGGACAATTGGATATTTATGGACATCAATTAGACTTTTTTGAACCCTGCATGAACAGCAGAATTACTGAAAGTATGCAATTAATAATGTTTTCTTGAATGGTCTTGAATGTCTTCAGAACAATATATCTAGGTATAATCCAAAGAAACAGAGGCCAAAGCTCAGGGGCAAGATGCTTGGCAGCTGACTAAGTGCAAGAATATAGTTTCAACCATGAGTCATATTTGCATAATACACTTTTCAGTAAGGTCATCAGCTTAATTGTACCTCAATAGGCTATAAAATTTCATTATTATCTAATTGCACCCCTGGTCTTATTAATGAATAATATTCATCCCTCCATAGACTCAATTACTCCTGATTAGCCTATTGAATTTAGCCCTCTTGAGTTTGATACCATAAACAGAAAATTATAAAAGTGGCTGCAGATTGAAGATACACTGCTCACACAATGCATGTTTATATTTATTTCTTTTATAAATATAACAATGGTTATAAAAATACCAGCCAACAACAAAATCAGATAACATGGTAATTAAGGATAACAATGCAGATTCATAACAATGTGTATAATGTGCTTAATACATCTCAGTTCAATGTTCCAACAAATTGCATGACAATTAATAAGCCATCTCTAGCTTGCTTTATTTCATAGCATCTTCATCCTGAAAAATATAAATGGAGATCTGATCAAGTTTTATTCACAAGGTGCAAGAAGTTAAAAAATCAATTAATTATAAGCCATGATAATTGATTTGAATTTGACAAGGCAAACAAGATAATATATTAACTAGGTTTTAACAGTCACCATCATCAGAGGTTCAGTTGAAATTTACACTGTTTGCAGCAAAAATCTTATTACTTTGTATCAGCACCCACTCCACACTTTGTCAGTCAGATCATGTTAATTATTGCTTAAATCTAATAGACTCACTGGGGGGAAGGTTTACCTATTTCCATTATTGTTTGCTATCATGAAAACAAAATAGACCAAACTCAAAGATTGACATTGCCAGGAATTTAATTCCTTCCCCACACAAGTCAAGAAAATGATAAAGTTTGAGTATATAACATTGCACATGTACCAAAGGTCTAAAATAGTATATTTGCTGTTTGTACCATAAGTTTTGATGGATTTATATGGCTCAGAACCTTTGGTAATCAGTTTATATTCGAGTCCAAAGGCAAAAAACTGAAATTGTTATAAAAACCGGCTTACCTGGATGCCATAAAATAACAGCCGAATAACAAAAATCATTCCCCCGATTATTGAATTAAGCCATTCAAAACGTCAGACATATAGAGCACAAAGCTACGTCTCCTTTCCATTTGTTGAACAGGGAAAAAGAGGATTTATATGAAAAACAAAAAATATATACCGAAAGCCGAAAATAGTTTCATAAAAACCAGGAGGGAGATGGACACAGTTTTTCACCTTGTATCGCGGTATGTCAGTGGTAACTACCATGAGCAAAAGGAACCATGTGGCGTCAGCAAAGCTCAAAATCCGCCATGTTTTTGCGGACACTTTTTGGTGGCGAGCCGGTCCTCCAGGAATTATTATATAGCTCAGTGGAAGCAGCTATTTTGCCTATGCCTGGCGGCCGATACAGCCTTGTGATTGGCTAATAGCTTTTTTGCCTAACCAAGACGAATTTGCCTAACTTGACGTAATCTGGAAGCCTTCTGATTGGGTAATTTTTTAAAATTCTATTCTTTCATTGGCTTGCATATTTTGCCTAATCTTTGGCGAGTTGAACCAATCACTGTGCTTCGTAAGCATGCCTGTGTTAGTCATGTTAGGCAAAGACTAGGCAAAGAGTGGAAGCATGCCTTTTCAATCGCTCTGAGCATCGAAGGATTAAATTTCGAAGTTATCTTCTGCTTTTTCGCGTTCGCTTTGTTATTGTGTTATTTTACAATGTCTTCATCGTCTTGTAGTGATTTGTACGAGCCATTCGAACGATTTAGAGTGTCTAAATGACGCGAAATTTATGCGACGTTTCGATCTTTGTATTTATGAAAGCGACACGCTCAAGGCTAAGCTCAAATGTTTGTGTGGAGTTATATGTGCCGAAGCACGCTCGTAATGGCAAGAAAAAGGCTTGTACTGCAATAAGTTAACTATATTTTGTTTATTCCATGCTACGCTTCTATATAACTGTGTTTTTAGATCTCAAATCGGCAAAATGATTGTCGAACAACAACAAGCATGGCTAGTTCTTTATGTATTCAAATATAAATTTACATATGTCTGCGCTGGCCGGGTCAAAAGGTTGCTATATATGAATATATAACTTAAATATGATATGAAAGACACAAACTTAGCATGTTCACTTTTAGTTACTTGTTATTATTCCGCATTCCTGATGTATATCACATGTATAAATAGTTAAATACGTTCATATGAAAATTATGAGTGAATACATCATGATGTTGATTGTTGACATTGTAACTCTGCCGTCAGTCCGCGACATAATTTTCTGATACTTGATCTAGCGTGATTTTAATTTCCTGTTTTAAATATTTCCTACTTCTCCTAAGTTCTGATAATTTAGCTTCGGCCCTAGTACTAGTAGGTAACAATAATACTCAAAGTTGGTACTACTCAAAGTAGGGACTAAGGAATAGTCATCTCAAAAACAATAGCGCTCTGATGGCACGCTGATGAGCCCTAATATGGGGCGAAGCAGTTCAGTTGGTAATCTGACGACTATCATTAAAAAATCGAACATCTTAATATGAGTCATGCGTCACGTCATACGTGACGTCATAATTGACGTCATATGAATGACGTCATAAAATTTGACTAAGGTATGAAAAATCCTAGATCCGCACCTGAATTATACAGACAATATTGATTATAGAGAATGAAAAAGTTATCGTACAAATTAACATTTATAATGCAACAATGAAATGAGAGCTAGGTTTTTAATTATTCAACCAGGTTGTCGTTTATAATTTTTTAATTAAGTTAAGTTAATAAAATCATTCATTGATCGTTATATCATAAGATAAGAATTATAAACACATAGATAAAACGGGGATTTAAAAACTATTTTTTTGGGAGATAGCGCTATACAGCTTTTAAAACATCCATCTCCTGCATGGTGCGCACTGCGCAGACGATATAAATTAGCGTAATTGGTTCCTCTACGCTAAATATTAAAAATGCAATAAGCAATATTATTTTATAAAATACAAACCATATATTCTGCGGGATGCATGTTGGCAGAGCTGTTTGCATCACAAATGAAGCAGTTTTTCTCTGGGGATATTTCACAATATTTCGCACTAGGCATGCCACACGTGTTTGAAGATGTCACATTTCGTCCTCTTGCAGCGTTCACGGGTTGAGGAAAACAAGGAAGTGGCTTTTTCGTGAGAAAATCGTAGCATGGAGCTGCACTGCATCTTGAATGCCATTTAATACATGATATCAACAAAAACACCTTTAGAATAAACACGAAATCCTTGAAAATGAAGCAGGTCATTTTTAAACTTTGTTTTCTGAAAACGTCGAATTCTTACAGTCGTGACGGAAACAACCAAATAAAATTCTCGCGAAACACTTAAGACATTTTATCTCAGAGATACTCCACTTCGTAGTTTCCCCCGTGAGCCTCGCACAAACATAAGACGCTTGTTTTATAAGTTATGCTATAAACATCAATAACAATCGAACGCTCATGTTTATTTAAATAACCACCAGAAATTTTAGCCAGGTTATAAATTTGAATTAATATGTGAATTATACACTGCCGTTAAAAACAGTACCAATTTAAAATCCCATAGATGGATTTATTGAACCAATTTTTTGTTGGGTAAAGCAACTAAAAACCTGGTTAAAACAACCGATTCCAGTGCTGATTTTACCAAAGAGAATTGATAAAAAAGAGATGAATCTAAGACAACCAATTTCAAACTATTTTTGTAACTATTTGTTTTTACAGAGTATATATAGTCATAAGAATAAATAAATTTTGCTATCTTTTTCATTGCTTCTACGTGAAGGCTATAAATAAGTATATTTATGCAATGGAGGAGAGGATTTTTTTCAGTGTCTCACGGAAGTCTTGTATTACGTGGAAACTCTTGCAAAATGCTCGCGTTCCCACGCATTTCTCATGCAGCAATGTCAACTTCCACGCGAGTTTTCAATATAACTCAATATAGCCCAGGTATTACCTAGGCCTGAATACTATAAAACAAAATTTCTAAATACCGTCCATCCGTCTTATTCGGATATACCGTATAATTAATTATATGCTCGCGTATATTCTCATGTTTTTTTCGTTATACCAAAAAATTTCTTAGAGGCCTAATATTTCGAAACTTAAATTGAAATGAAATGTCGACATGGATCAGTCGCTCCTAAAAAAGTTATGCTAATGCTATGTATTTATCTGAAACATTATAGGCTTAAAATTCCTTCTATACCGCCGGGCGAGACAGTGCAACTGGGCATGCGTCAAGTCCAACGATGACCGGACTCTGATTTGAATTCCACAAACGGAACGTTTTTCATCCAGAGAAGAGTGAACCCATGATTGCCATGAAAGGTAAATAAAAATGAAGGTATGCATGGTGAAGGATTTTATCACGATAATTTCGTCTGATAAACACGCGAGACCAGGGTAAGAACGGCCCGAGACAGTACAAGATAAATTATTAGACATTTGTTTCCCACAAGTTTTGACCGAATACGGCAAGACTGAGTTCGAGTTAGAGTCCAGATTTGAGTCCAGATTTGAGTCCAGATTTCAGTATTTTCCGCCTGCGTTTCAACCATCGCAACACAGCACAACAATGACTTTTATTTTATTTGTCTGTTAAAATTTCCACTCTATTCTTGAGATAAATCTTTGAACAGGGTATTCAGTGTAATGTTTTAAAGAGCATTTGTAAATTTTACAGCTGGACATTCGATCAAATGGAATCATATAATTCTCAGGAAGTTATGCCATTTCAATGTTTGTGATTCCAAATTGTGAGACGCGTCAGGGCGGGTAAGTTGCATCACAACAATTATACTGATAGAATACTTCAACTAGAAAGTAAAAGCTAATAAAACTAAAAACTTATTAAAGATAAAAGTGGTTTTGTAGTGTATAATCGTTAATCGTTTATATTATTATGTTTCTCAGTCATTATTCGCCATAAAAACGCGCGGCATAGCCGTTTCTTTCTCTGAATTTTGTCATCTCAGCTCTAACGTCTGCTGCTATGGAAATCATACGAAACACACTGAGCATTAAGGTATTGACAATCATTCGTGTGAAAGTGCTTTGATAAGTAACAGTCTGCAATGTTTTGGAATCAGGCCTGTATCATATAGTTCTGACAATATATAGCTCTTTTGTCCGCCGAAATCGAAGATGAATTCGACGGCGGGTTATGGATATCATAAACACACCTTCCGTGTAAGATTAAAGTCTATATATGTAATAATTTTCTTGTATGATTGCATGGCGACTTTAGTAATTATAATAACTTGTAGGTACACCACGTAAGTATTAAATACTGCAAAGCTTTCGGTCCGTTAACCCGGACCTTCATCAGTGCAATTACTTGAATACACGTTTGCGCGTCACTTAAATATCATGTTAGTCGTGATTAGTTTGCTCGCGCTATTAATTAAACGGTTTCATTTAATGACAATAGTATATATAATAATTTATTCACATTATTAGTACTAGGGAAATTTACAATAATCAATCATGCATTAAAATTAAGTATAATAGTTCTACAGACTATTTACAAAAACAACTTAACTAGACTACTCGCTAATGTTGGAGTTCCATTCCGACAACGTAATGTCGTTAGTTGATGTGATGGACGCAGTCCTCCAACTTCGACTGCCACGAACACACACCACGCGAGCTCTAAGCAAAGCAAAGGCGATCTTTCGTCGTAACCAGCTAACCACCATAGATGTAGAATGATTCTTCTTGTCAGCCAGCTTCGCACCCAGGAAGGAAAGAAAATGTTGGGTCTCTCTTCCGCATCCGCCAAAGGCGCTGAAGACGACCGGTGTGAAGGAGCCATGCTCGACCTCAACAATCCGTTGGTTGTAATGTCGCTTCTTTTCCCGTTCGTTGGCTTTAAACGAGCTGCTCAACGTCTGGCGTCGATGTGTAGAGGCGTATGGGTTAAACACCCTTACATCAAAAAATGCCTTTTCACATCTCTGCCAGAAACCTCTCGCAGCAATGTCCACTCTGGCGTCATCGGCTGAGTTAGCACTGGATGGAAGAACCTCGCCAGTCAAAGGAGCAAGAGCAGGTTCAATTGAAACATCGTAAGCAACGTCATCGATAGCAGCAGCAAGTAGATCACGGATCTCATTATGTCTTCGATGGATAAAACCTCCTTTCAGGCACGACAGGGCATGATCTACCGTGAACGATTTTCCACAAGCGCAGAAAGATGGAAGGCGTTTCAAAGGCCATCGATAACGCATGTAGATTGCATCAAAGAACTCACGCTTGGTCAAGATGTAGCCCTCTTCAGCAAGTGGCAGAGCAGTTAGCCAAGCTGAGGATCCTTTCAACTGGGCGAGGTCATTTGCTCGAATCTGCTCTTCACTCATGCTCGATCTCAAGTTCTGTAGCAGCAACGAGTTCCTAGCTTGACGTTGTTTTGCAATCTCACGGCGAAGATCGTGGATGGAATCTCCATGTTCTGCTGATGGTGTACCATTCTGGTGGATGATTCTACTTGAGAGAAGATGACAGATGGTTGTGGAGTTCAAATGTTCTTCATCACAGATGTCGTTAAAGATCGGAATACCAAGACCTCCCATACGAGCTGGAAGCGAAACCAATTGTCGCTCATGGATGGACAAGCTACGGTTATCGAGGAGTGCAGGAAGGAGCTTCAGGTTGATGGTGTCGTCAACAAGCTGCATCGCGGTCTTGATACCTGGAACGGCACGAATGTGGTAAGTAAATCTGTGCCGAAAACCCGAGACAAACGCCGTGTATGCTGCTTGGGGTTGGAATTTGGCAATTTCACTCAAAACGTGAAGTTGCTGGCACCATTTACTAACTAAAGAACTAATATACTTATCTTTTCCGTCATCCGATCCAAGATATCCTCCAAGGTACTTATGCCCTTCACTTGAAATTCGTACATTAGTTCCAGCGAAGATCTCAATGGCAGTCTGCTCCAGGTGTGGCTTCACAATCAACCAGGATTTATCAGCTCGCGGGTAGTAACCAAGACTCGGACCAAGAACGGCAATCTTCTCCCACCAGGCACGCAGTTGCATTAGCTTACCTGCCCCATTAAGGTCATCCGCGTACGCAACATGCCTTACATCACTAGCTTCACCAGATTTGATCATGAGCAGGAGTGGAGTAATGGCGACGGCGTATAACGGCATGGCTAACGGATCACCTTGCGTGGTACCTTCAGCTGATGCAATTTCTTTACCACCTTGCACGAACAATCTTGAAGCTGTTACATAACAATTGAACGTATAAACAGCCATTGCAGGACAAATGTACTGAATGTTATGTAACATGATCTTGCGGTTGATGGAATTGAACGCATTGGTGGCGTCTACCAGTAAGACAGCGTCTGTTTCTTCTTCTTCAAAAATCTTCGACATGGCGTGAACAGCAGCCTCGCAGCCTGATTGTTGTCCTGCACATAGCTGCAAGTCTCCTGCGCTATCCATGATTTGTGGTTTAATGGCAAAGACAATTGATTTTCCAATTATCCGTCGTAGAACCTCTCCAATCCCAATCGGTCTGACACCAGGGTTCTTTTAATTAAGTTCTAACTAATGCGCGCGCCCTAGACAAGTATTTGACTAAGAGACACCGAAAAGAGCACGCCACGTACTATTAAGTGGCTTTCCCTCTTGGACGATAGTTTGATGTTTATAAATTTCAATAGATTCTCTCATTTTACGAGAGACAGTAAACTTATCGTTTGCTAAAATGGTAGCATCGTTCCATTTAATACGATGATCATAAGTCCATGCATGGTGAGCTACTGCAGACTTATCCAGTTTACCTTTCTCGCAGTTCGTCTTATGTTCTTTAAGACGTATTGAGAGATTTCTACCGGTCTCTCCAATGTAAACCAAACCACATTCACATGGAATGCGGTACACACCAGGTTTCTGTTGTTCATCGACGCCATCCTTGTTTACCATATATTGGCCCAGCTTCATATAAAATCGTTAGGATTTTAAAAGAAGTTGGAATACAAGTTTACCATTCTAGCAATAACAAATTGTTTCGCGCTCTTTACACACACAAGGATGGCGTCGATGAACAACAGAAACCTGGTGTGTACCGCATTCCATGTGAATGTGGTTTGGTTTACATTGGAGAGACCGGTAGAAATCTCTCAATACGTCTTAAAGAACATAAGACGAACTGCGAGAAAGGTAAACTGGATAAGTCTGCAGTAGCTCACCATGCATGGACTTATGATCATCGTATTAAATGGAACGATGCTACCATTTTAGCAAACGATAAGTTTACTGTCTCTCGTAAAATGAGAGAATCTATTGAAATTTATAAACATCAAACTATCGTCCAAGAGGGAAAGCCACTTAATAGTACGTGGCGTGCTCTTTTCGGTGTCTCTTAGTCAAATACTTGTCTAGGGCGCGCGCATTAGTTAGAACTTAATTAAATGAAACCGTTTAATTAATAGCGCGAGCAAACTAATCACGACTAACATGATATTTAAGTGACGCGCAAACGTGTATTCAAGTAATTGCACTGATGAAGGTCCGGGTTAACGGACCGAAAGCTTTGCAGTATTTAATACTTACGTGGTGTACCTACAAGTTATTATAATTTCTATATATGTAGTTAAACATGAAAAATATATGTAATATATTAAATTTCGTGGTTTGCTAATCCAATGCCAACTTCGGCAACAAATTAAGTACCAAATTAAAGATGTATAAGACTATAACTATAAAATCAGTTTCTCTGAATATATTCCGAGTAATAATATTAATGGACGAGAAGAGTGAACCCTAAAAAAAAAGTATGCATACGTGGTCAATGATTTTATCACGATAATTTTCTTCTGATAAACACGCGAGACCAGGCCCGAGACAGTATAAGATATATTATTAGACATTTGATTCCCATAAGTTCTGACCGAATACGGCAAGACTGGTGAGTTCGGTCCTGATTTGAGTCCATGCATATTTCAGTATTTTCCTGCATTTCAACCAACGCAACACAGCACAACAATGACTTTTATTTTATTCGTCTGTTCAAATTTCCACTCTATTCTTAAGACGAATCTTTGAGCAGGGTGTTCAGTGTAATGTTTTAAAGAGTATTTGTACATTTTACAGCTGGACATTCAGTCAAATGGAATCATATAATTCTCAGGAAGTCATGCCATTTCAGTATTTGTGATTGCAAACTGTGAGACGTGTCAGGGCGGGTAAGTTGCATCACAACAATTATACTGATAGAATACTTCAACTAGAAAGTAAAAGCTAATAAAACTAAAAGTTTATTAAAGGGGAAAGAGGTTTTGTAGTGTATATAAAGATTTCTTAATGGGAAGTGCTGACGTAAGGTATTTTGTTTTCACAAAGCGATACGTCGGGTTATAGAGATCATAAGCACACCTTCCGTGAAGATTAAAGTCTTATAGTGATTAGATCAGAGCAAACATAAAAAATATATGTAATATATTAAATTTCGTGGTTTGCTACTTGTGGTTTGCTACTATCCCATGCCAACTTTGGCAACCGAAATTAAGTATCAAATTAAAGAAGACTATAAAATCAGTTTCTCTGAATATATAATCCGAGTAATAATGGACGACTTGCGCTTTAGACTAATTTCTTACCTCTGCGATAAAAAAGACATTTTCCGAAAGAGCTTACTAAATTGGTGAAACTGTCAAGTTTGGCTGCGAATTGTTGTAAATTACGGAAAATTTCACGAAGTTCACAAACTTTGTATACTTCTAGCGCAAGTCGCCCATTAAATCACACATTTTAAGCCTACTTTCGATTCATCGCACCCGCATTGTTTGCCAACCATTAGATAGATTTGTCTTCATATTTCTCAAATCGGCAATTGTTGACTGCACTCGCATAGAAATTTGCAAATCAGCCACATTGACATGTTCACGACACTTAACGACTAAATGGAAACCAGGCATACTGGGATTTTGATTTTTTTATGTTCGATTCTGATGTGAACTGAACCTCGCAGGCCAGGCTCTTCTACCTACCCTCCAGGAACCACGATACGACGAATGGCTTTGGTTAATACTTACTAAGGCTGGTCACGTGATTCTTTTGCTACGCTTCTCCCGTGTAGGGATGGGTGGGACACATGTAACGCATAAATCATATCAGTTAAAACAGCGTTTTTCTAAGGACTGAATATTGAGCGCTTACTACAAAGCGAAATAACCTGTGTCGTTATACGTAGTTATTTGACCTCTAAATTCGCTCATCAACACCCAAGTCAGAAGAAAGGACAGGCCTTCGAGTGTCTATTGAATGTCAACAGAACTTATGATGATACTAAAACCGATTCTACGACGATGATATAGTCTACACATACACCATGAATCTAAATTCTGTTTATTGTTCTTTGGAGTTTTTCGCAGTTTCGCTGCTAGCTGTATTTATTTAGTTTATTGTGTGAACCGATGTTTTTAGTTACGGCAGTACAAAGCCACCTGCACTGTCACAAGTGCTAAAAATAGCAGATGTGGTATATCGACTTTGCAACCCCTCCCTTGGATATGAACTAAGCGCTAATTCAAAATCTCCCATATTTTGGGAGGTTTTGCGTTGTCACATGACCAGCCTTAACCAAGGTAAAAGACCCTGGCCTGCGAGGTTGATTAATAGTAAGCAAGCCTGGCGCCACTGAGCTAAAAATAATATGGAGAGCGCGCTTCTATAGATACAGAAATTGAATGGGTTTTTTTTAAGCAAAGATACAGTTCAAGGATATCGGGGGGCTCTTTCAGAATGAAGTAACTCAATGGTAGAAAAAAATATTTCCGCGGCAGCTAAATAAACAGAAAAGGGATTTCTACCTACATTTTATATACCCTGCTCCCCTGAGCGTACGAAACCAGAATTGTATTTGTTCATGCATGCATGTATGTAGCTATCATATACGAAATATCATTTCACGTGTAAGTCTTATAATTATATAGGTTACTGTTACGTTATGGTTAAAGTGTAGTCTGATCTTATTTCCGTTATATCGAGAAACAAAAATTGCAACGATAATCGGGAAATGTTAAATCTAAACTATATCAATGAAATTGCGTGAAGAAAAGGTCAGAAGAATAGAAGAAACCTAGGAATCAAACACGGATTGGAGTTAAAATTTAAAGAAATGGAGCAAACAGACTCGATTAACTTCCACGAGGAAGGCCTAGAATTTGCATTGGATAAAGTGGATAAACTGCAAAAAGCAACTAATGAAAAGCGATTTCTCGAGGATACATATTTATCAGAAAATCAATTTCAAAAACAAATTGAAAACCTTAAGAAGTCGTTGGCAGTTGCAAAAGAACGAAACGATAAACAACGAGAAAAGGAAGCATACCTTAGGCTGGGTCGCGCGTTCAGGGTAAACAAACAATATGGAACGGCGATTGAACACTATCATGAAGCTTTGGAGATGGTACTGGATTATAACGATGAACGACAAGAGAAAGACGCATACCTTGGGTTAGCGGAGTCTTATATGCGTACAGATGAAACCGAAATGGCAATTAAATACTACGAAAGAGCCTTGAAAATTAAGGAGGAGGATAAAAGTAAAGAGAAAGCCATTAATCTTTGTTTGGCAGATGCCTACAGGGCGAATCAACAGATGAAAAAAGGAAATGATTACTTGGGCAGAGCCTTAAAAATTGCAAAGGATTGTGGAGATAAAAAGGAAAAGGGAGCAATTTACCTTCGGTGTGGAGATGCCTATTGTTCAAATTGTGAATATCAAAAAGCGATTGATTATTATAAAAAGGCTTTAAAAATTGCCAAAGAGTGCAAAACTAATCAGGACGAGCAAGAGATTTCCCTTCGGTTGGCTGAGGCTTATAAGTTGAGTAATAATATAAAACTGGCCAATGAATACTGTGCTAAAGCTTCGCAAAACCCACAAATCGAAAGAGAAGATAAGTCAGTTTATCAGTATGAAAAAGCTTTGGAGAATGCAAAAAGAGATTGGGATGAAATAAATGTGATCGAGAATTATGTTCGTTTAGGAGATGCGCATAAATTGAACAAAAATATCCAAAGAGCAATTGAAAATTATGAAAACGCTTTAGAAGTTGCAACAAAATGTTGGGATAAAAATGAAGAGACAGAGATCTACCTTCGCTTAGGTGATGCTTATAGGACGGAGAATGTGATTGAAAAGACAATAGAGTACTACAAGAAAGCCGCGGAAAACGAAAAAGGTTTGGATATGAAAAAACAAACTGACATTTTCCTTCATCTAGGAGATGCGCAGAAACTAAATAACGAGAGTGATGCGTCGATTGAAAGTTACAAAAAAGCTTTGAAATATGCGAAAAAAATATCTGACGGCACTAAAGAGAAAGAAATTTGTCGTCGGTTGGGAGATGTTTATAAATCACACGACGAGTGTCAAATGGCGATTCAGTATTATGACAGAGCATTGGAAATTGCGAACGAAGGTTCAAAAAATGACGAATTGTTAAAAATTTACCTTGGTCTGGGATCAGCTTATAAAACAAAAAATCTGAATCAAAAAGCAACTATATTCTACGAAAAAGCCTTCAAAATTGCAAAGGATACTAGTTCCAATTCAAAACACGACAACCCAGAGATTCACCTAGCATTAGGTGATATTCATAAGTTCAAGAATGAAACTAAGAAAGCGATTGCAAACTATGAAAAAGCACTGGAAATTATGGAGTCCTGCACCAACGAAGATAAGTTAACACATACTGTTCATATTTATCTTGAGTTGGCAGAAGCATATTCCCTGACAAATCAAGTTCAAGAGGCAATTGGATATTGTAAGAAAGCTTGGGAAATAGGGAAAGAAAATAATTGGGAAATGAAAAAGATTTTCCTAAAATTTGGAGATGTTTACAAATTGAACAATGAAATCCAAATGGCAGAAGAATATTATGATAAAGCTCTATCGATAGATTGTGGACACGAAGACGGGGAATTGCAGACAGAAATACACCTGCGGATAGGAAATGTTTGCGGTGACATAAAAATGACGACTCAAAATGATATTTACGAAGCAAAAGATCTGTTCCAGACGGCAACTGAAAACTTTGGGAAAGCTCTGAAAGACGCAGAAAAACGAGGAGATAAACGTCAAGAAAAATGTGCGCATCTTGGGTTAGGATATGTGTATAGAAATTATAATAAGTTCTTAACAGCAATCGAGCACTTTGAGAAAGCCTTTGCAATTTCAAAGGAACTGGGAGACACCTCAGACACGGAAGAGGAAATGAATGCATATCTTGAAACGGGACATGCGTATAGATTAAACAATCAGATGACAATGGCAATGAAGTATTTTCATAAAGTCCTAGAAATTGCGGGTGAACGAGGAGACAAACAACAAGAAACAAATGCTTATCTTTCGCTAGGAAGTGTTTCTTTAGCTGATAAACTGATTGAAAAAGCATTAGAATACTTTGAGAAAGGCTTAAAAATTGCGAAACAACAAGAGGAATTACAGCAACAAACAGACGCATACCTTGGATTGGGAGATTCTCATAGATTGAACAATGAGATACAAAAAGCAATTGAGTGCTATCAAAAAGCCTCTAAAATTGCACAGGAACAAGAAGATGAACAGAAAGAAACACGGGCATACCTGGGATTAGGGGATTCTTACAGAACAAGCAATCAGTTCCAAGAGGCAATTCAATGTTTTGAGAAAGTGATTAGAAGTGGAGGTGAACGGCAAAAAACACGAGCATACCTTGGTTTAGGAGATATCTATATATTAAACAGTCATTTCCGTGATGCAATTGTGTACTTTGAGAAAGCCTCAGAAATTGCAAAAGAACAAAGAGATACAGAACAACACACTCGGGCATACCTTGGATTAGGGGATTCCCTTAAATTGAGCGGTAGTTTCCATGAGGCAATCGAGTCCTTTGAGAAAGCCTGTGAAATTGCAAAAGAACAAAAAGACACGCAGCAACAAACACATGCATACCTTGGATTGGGAGATTCTTATAGACTAAGTAACTGTCTCCAGAAGGCAACTGAGTGCTTCGAGAAAGCCCTTAAAATTGCCAGTGAAAGAAAAGATAACCAACAATTGACGGTCGCATATTTAGGATTAGGAGAATCTTACAGATCAATCAATAAAATTCAAAAAGCAATCGAGTGTTTTGAGAAAGCCTGTGAATTTGCAAAAGAACAAAAAGACACGCAGCAACAGACACAGGCATGCCTTGGATTGGGAGATTCTTATGGACTAAGTAACTGTCTCCAGAAGGCAACTGAGTGCTTCGAGAAAGCCCTTGAAATTGCCAGTGAGAGAAACGATAACCAACAATTGACGGACGCATATTTAGGATTAGGAGAATCTTACAGATCAAGTAATAGAATTCAAAAAGCAATCGAGTGCTTTGAGAAAGCCTGTGAAATTGCAAAAGAGCGAAAAGACACGCAGCAACAGACACAGGCATACCTTGGATTGGGAGATTCTTATAGATCAAGCAATCCGTTTCAAAGAGCAGTGAACACCCTTGAAGAAGCCTTTGAAATTGAACAAACAAATACCGACCAAGAATTGAAAGCTCAGGCTGAAAAGGCGACTGAGTACTTTGAGAAAGCTTTGGAAATTGCAAGAGAACGAGGAGATAGACAGCAGGAAATACGAGCATGTCTTGGTTTAGGAGATTCCTGTGTACTAAGCAAGCAGTTTCAAAAGGCAATAGAGTGCTTTGAGAAAGTCCTTCAACTTGCAAGAAGAAAATCACAGCAACAAATGCATGCATATTTTCAACTAGGACGCATTGGCATACTTGACGAAGAGTATAAAAAAGGAATCGAAAATTTTGAGAGAGCCTTGAAAATCGCCAAAGAACGAGGAGATACAATACAAGAAATAAATGCCTATTTTGAACTAGCAAACGCCTGGATCCTAATCTATCAGGCAGATAAAGCAATTCAATACTTAGAAAAAGCCTTGAAAATTGCCCAAAAGCGAGAAGATGCACAACAAGAAGCAAAAGCACGCTTTAAACTGATGTATGCTTTAGGATGTGCCGATATTATTAGAATTACAAAAGAAAGGAAACAAGAAACAAAAGTATCTTTCGGAGGACTTCTATTTGGTTTGACTAATTACTTTAAAGCAGCTGTCGGATCCCTTACAAGATTCTTGGGAATTGCGAAAGACCAAAAACCGGAGGAATTAGAAGCAGCAAAGACGGACTTTTTTCAGAGATTTTTAGAAATTATGAAGGATAAAAAACAAAAAGAACTGGAATCAGAAGCCAAAGGGATCGGCTTTAATGAATTCATGAAAGAATTAGCTGCCATGGAACATGAATCGTCCATATTTGATAATCATGAACTATTCTTAGGACCTTCGAATGATCAGGACGTTGAACACTCAGAACAAGCTGGGTATAAATTAGAAGCCACAAAAGCAGAAATCGATGTTGGTGAATTTGATGATTAGGCGACTGAGTACTTTGAGAAAGCTTTGGAAATTGCAAGAGAACGAGGAGATAGACAGCAGGAAATACGAGCATGTCTTGGTTTAGGAGATTCCTGTGTACTAAGCAAGCAGTTTCAAAAGGCAATAGAGTGCTTTGAGAAAGTCCTTCAACTTGCAAGAAGAAAATCACAGCAACAAATGCATGCATATTTTCAACTAGGACGCATTGGCATACTTGACGAAGAGTATAAAAAAGGAATCGAAAATTTTGAGAGAGCCTTGAAAATCGCCAAAGAACGAGGAGATACAATACAAGAAATAAATGCCTATTTTGAACTAGCAAACGCCTGGATCCTAATCTATCAGGCAGATAAAGCAATTCAATACTTAGAAAAAGCCTTGAAAATTGCCCAAAAGCGAGAAGATGCACAACAAGAAGCAAAAGCACGCTTTAAACTGATGTATGCTTTAGGATGTGCCGATATTATTAGAATTACAAAAGAAAGGAAACAAGAAACAAAAGTATCTTTCGGAGGACTTCTATTTGGTTTGACTAATTACTTTAAAGCAGCTGTCGGATCCCTTACAAGATTCTTGGGAATTGCGAAAGACCAAAAACCGGAGGAATTAGAAGCAGCAAAGACGGACTTTTTTCAGAGATTTTTAGAAATTATGAAGGATAAAAAACAAAAAGAACTGGAATCAGAAGCCAAAGGGATCGGCTTTAATGAATTCATGAAAGAATTAGCTGCCATGGAACATGAATCGTCCATATTTGATAATCATGAACTATTCTTAGGACCTTCGAATGATCAGGACGTTGAACACTCAGAACAAGCTGGGTATAAATTAGAAGCCACAAAAGCAGAAATCGATGTTGGTGAATTTGATGATTACGAGGAATCCTTTGAGATAACAAAGGAGTGCGAAGAAAAGGATAAACAGTCAAAACAAGGAAAATGTAAGTTAGAGGCAGAGAAGGCAGACATAGGTGAATTTGATGTGAAGATATCCTTGGGAATCACGAACGAGTGCGAGCAAGACGTTAAACTGTTAGAACAAGAATGTAAATTGGAAGCAGCAAGGGCAGACGCTGGAAAAGGTGAATTTGATGTGGCGAAATCCTTTGGAACTACGAATGAGTTCGACGTTAAACTATCACAACCAGAATGTGAATTGAAAGCAACGCATGAGGTCGACGCATTAGGTAAGTTTAATTACTACAAGGAATGAAATGTGATACGAAAAGGTCTATTAAAATATCTTGATACTGCTCAAATCAGTGTCATTTTCACTTCGCGCAACGCCTATAAACGGTTCAGTAGATCTTAATTAGTTTACCTAGCGAAAGAAATTGGTAACGACGCAGCCTAGTCCCATGGGCTTTCGCTTTTCGCTTCCGCCTTAATATTTACGGGATTTGCAGGTCGACCAGGAATCAGTTGTCTAAAGGCCGAAACAGGAGACCTGCACGGCCTGTGACTTTATAGGCTATGTTGCCCGCAGGCGGAAAGAGACTAGGCATACGGACTAGGCTAGTAACGACGCACGCGACCGCTACGCGGTCATTCGGTTATTAAAACATTTGGATTGTTGGTAAGAATACGCAAGAAAAATTGTTTGAAAATGTGAAACTAATTTTCGACAGATTTTATCATACTCGTAGCTTATGCAGCTACCACTCTTTATACAAATAACAAAAATTTATTCTGATTTCTGAGTGTGAAATGATCCAAAAAACTGCAAAATTCGGGCGCACAAATAAGTCATCACTACGAAATCGACTGCCCTGAACCTTGCCGCAGGGATGCTTACCGACATTTTTGTTTTACTTCAAATATAATTTCAGTTAATCATTAGGTACTGCGGACTATCCATAGCTATTAATATATATGTAATGTTTTACATGCACACAGATACCGAGACAATAAGGCATCAAGAAACATCTCAGGATGAAAAGAACACCTGGTTTAAGGATATTTTTCTAAATTCAAAACGCAAGTTAAAAAAAGAAATTCACGAAGACTTAAGGAGGTAATTAATATTCTTTTAATTTACAGACATACATCTGTTGTGTTTTGTCATGGTTTCGAAATATATTTCAATCGAAAATGCATGGCCCTTATAAGCTTTGCAGTTTGAAGCATCCCATATGCACTCGTCATCCTCCTATCCCTGAAACCCACAGCAATGGAAAATACACTGTTCAAACGTATTTAAAAATCTAGCTGTTCCCTCTCTCATCCGGTCTGTGGCTAGGCCGCTTAATTGGGTAAGGGGGATGAGTATACACCCCCCCCCTTTGAATTAAGCTTCTAACTACGGCTCTGTTTCTCATCACCATTATTAAGTATTTTATATTATATTATAGCTTCTCGTGGTTGTGTGGAGCATACGGCCTTGCTGGTTCCAACAAAAAGATTAATCATCTGCATATTTACCTCACAGTTAAAAGAGGAATGAAAAAATGCGATGTACGGCGCGATCTTGGGGAAAAATTCAATTGTGACGCAAAGGAATATTTTGAACTTTTACAAGAACCAAAACACGAACCAAGGATCAAATTTTTGGTTCGCGATCGAAATACATCGAGTGTTGGGGCTGAGGCTTCACCGTCCATTACACCAGTCACACCAGAACCAGGGGGAGGCGTATTGGCTTGCAGTGGGCAAACTGGTCATAACTACACGCGAGTGCCTGAGGAAAACGAGGCCGAGGGGGATTTACCTGATGTGCAAGGAGCAGGAACGTTAACTATGTTTTGTTGTAAAGATGGACAACATTACGCACTTACTTGCTTTCACGTTGCTTGTGCATCTGATGAAAACAGCTGTGATGCCGCATTTAATAATACATCATATAAAACAATTTTACAAAAGGTGAAAAAGATACGCGAATCACCTTCACATTTTCAAGACCAAGCCAAAGAAAAAGAATACTATTTTATAGAAGGCAAAAAAGACAACAACAATGAGGCCATTTCGTTTGGACATGATGGATGCAAATATTCAAAGCTTGGTAACTTTGCGAATTCTCATTTTGACGATGAATGTGATATAATGTCGCTAAAAATTCCTAATGGCGTAAAATTTTCTTGCAAAATTGCGGGTGTAACGTCTCCGGATTGGGTTAAGAATACTGATGAACTGTTCAAGAGAGTTTTTGACAGCAACGAGGAGGATCCAGTAGAGGTAGAGAAAAACGGTTTCTCTTCAGCCTTAACGAAAGGTTATATTGTTCCTTATGATTTTAGTTACAGCATGGGAGAAGATTTCCTATTTGAGGATGGATACGTCGTTAGAGGTTACGATGGTCCTTTCTTGAAAGACGGTGATTCAGGATCTCTCGTTTTCTTTCATGATAAAGATAATCGTAAGCAGGCATTTGCTTATGGTGTTTGCGAAGTGGGTGATGATCTGTTACCAAAGCTCAAGGAGTCAACAAGTTTCCTTTCTGAAATGCCCAAACATGCTTTACCAAAAGAAGGCGAATTAACGAATTCTGTATCGCGGGAACATGTCTGTTCTGAACAGCACGACTTGGCAGTTTTGAAACCAGTGGAACAAGCCGTACCGGAACAAAAGGGGGCACAAATTTCCATTTCACAGGAACATACTTTGCAGGAACAACCAACAAGTGAGGATGATAGCGACAGTAGTAGCACTTGGAGTGATGAAAGCGATGACGGAGGAATTTTATTCCGAGAAGAAAGCGATGCAAACGAAACTTCAAAAAAGGGACCGTATTCAGTCTGTTTACGATTAGATACTGCTTTAGAGAATCTTGGGCTTTTAGAAGCAACGTGTTTTAGCGATTGTGCTAATAGCAGACGGTGATGTAAGCTGTGTCATATTGTAGAACCTCATGCAGAACTATTTCAAATATATTTTAAGCTAATTATAAAAAAGTATGAACACCAAGAGTGTCAAGTGTGCAAATAATTTTTGGGCAAGCAAATTTGGAACTACAATTATAAATATTACTAGTTAATCCGCGTTAAATGAAAATTAGAAAATAGCATAATGTGCGCGTTCACATAATTTAGGCAAAAATTTAGAAATGATATTTTTAATTGACGGTATTATTTATATCATGATTGTATAATATTATGGGTCACTTATGGTAGCTAGTTGTGATGAATTATAGTGTTTAAACTGATAGCTGTAACTTGTAAACTATGATCATTTTTTGTATGATTGCTTTTTCACAATGCAAACTATATAATTTTTGTTATTAAAATGTTTTCCACCATGCAAAATATTTGCGCAAAAGGTTGTAGCATAATGCCTTGTTTTTGACACAATTTTTTATGTATCATACGTCCGTAATAAACACTCAATTAGCCTTTCTCACGATGACGAATATGCCGCCATTTTTGGGGTACTTTTTTTCAAAATCGTGAGCGTAAGACCTCGTAACAGCGCCTATCTTCAATTTTAGACTGAAATTATTCTTCAAATGGTCTATTGATTCTGAAAATAATGCTTTTCATGTTGTTATAATTTTTTAAACGGTTAAACCCATTTGAGAAAAATGAAAGTACCCCAAAAACGTCATCGTGAGATAGGCTAATTGCAAGGCGCTGCTTAATGAATGAGGAACTTAAAGTCATTCCCCCAGAATACTACACGGCAAAGAATTTTTCAGGTTGACGCATCAGGAGGGAACAATGTTGTGCCGCACCCCATTAACAGAATTTACGGCAACCATAAAAATGATTATTTACAATTAACAATACGTACGTACGAACTTACAATTCTCCTAGCTCTCGCAGACGAAGGTTTGACTTCTGCAGTTACTGCGTACCGAAAAATGACGAGCAAGTCTTCCAGGCTCACCGTCTTCCAGGAATTTTAATATAGCTCAGTGGGCTGCCTATGCTAACGTGTTTGGTTGCCAATGGTTGCCACCTGTATTTAATTCAAAATATCCCCCCCCTGGAAAATAACGAAAGAACAATGTTGCCATGTTTTGAGTTGTTAAAACAGCATTGAACATGCTTGTTGAGTCATCATTGTTCGCATGTTATGGCGTTCCGTTCCGGTCAAAACTACTTAAGAGTACAAATGAAATATGAAACACTATGGCAGTAAGTTATAACTCGTAGTATATTCGAAGCACACAAAATAATGTCGTATTCACAAAATAATCTAACGAAACGTCCCCTGATACAAATGAAACCCGCAAAAACGTTTCCAGGCGTTAGAGCGCGCGCGCTCTATGTACCTCATTATCAGGCTCATTATGTACCAGTTATGTACAGTTATGTACCGTTGCCACTGACCGTTGCACAAAATAAATTCCATCGCCTAGCAACCGTACCGTTACACAAAATTATTCGAACTTAACCAGTGAACTATAATAAATAAGTGGAACGATACCTCCTCATTGTTTTTGTGAAGCCAAAATTTGCGGGACTTTACCTTTTTGATTGACTTTAATCAAAGCCAATCAAAATCAAAGGCAACTGGTCTTGACAAGATATCAGCCAGATTAATTCGAGAATGTGCCGATCTTATCTCAAATTCTATCACTAACATCTTTAATGCTTCTCTAACAACTGGTATATTTCCAGATGATTGGAAATGTGCCAAAGTTACTCCAGTCTTCAAACAAGGTGCAAGGAACGAATTGAATAATTATCGCCCAATCTCTGTTATTCCGGTAGTAGCTAAAGTTTTTGAAAGAATAATCTATAATCAACTTTATGCATATATGACTGAAAATGAATTTATGACCAAACATCAATCGGGCTTTCGCTCCTTGCACTCAACATGTACGGCCTTACTTGAAGCTACTGATACTTGGGCCTTTAATATTGATCATGGCAATAATAATGCCGTTATATTTCTCGATTTGAAAAAGGCCTTTGATACGGTCAACCA